TGGCAAAGAGAAAGAGGGAGAGAACGAGACGGGTAGCTGAAGGATATTGATGGGGCGCAACAGTAAAAGGAAGCCATGGAAAAAAGAAACGCCAACTTGCTTATCAAATATGAAGGAACCGAAAGTGGGTCGAGGTTTTGGGTGGTGGGGCGGTTGGGCGGTTTGGCGCTGGGCGTTGGCATCATAAAAGCCATGAGCTCACCTGGGGTAGTTGGGTCGAAAGTTTTATGGATGCCCGATGCCACGACAGGTGGTCAGAGCACGCCCACCAAGCCACTGGCCCCTTTCCCGTCACCCTGTCTCTTACATATTTTTCTCGGGTTTTTCCGTTTTTTTTTTTTTGTTTTGTAGTCATAAAAAGCAGGGTGCAAGGAGGATCGAATGGGAGCTGGCACACGTGCGGATAATAAAAAATGTTTTACTTTTCAATCGACCAATAATATGGCGTTCAATGGACAGGCCAAACGTGCTAAACCCAAACAAAGGACCACCACTCCCTTAGCCCAAGCTCCTGGAGCTCCAGGATGCGATACACAAGCACACACACACACTCACGTACGTAGTTCAATCATCGTTAAAAAGAATTTCATTTTGAAAAATGCCAGAACTTCAATAAATTATATTGCTTCTGGACCACAGAAAGGCAACCAGAAGAGGCGGCGGGGTCAAAAGTTAGGAGGGGGTTGGCTGGCTGGTGGTCGTGGAGGGTTGTGGCCTGGACCAGCTTCGCTATCATAACCACAATACAAAGAAATTGGGTGGGCAAACAACAACAACCAGCAAATACAACAAAAAATAGAAGAAAAAGCATCCGCCGTTGGTATCCGTAAGATACTCGGGTGCGGACAGGTGAATCAGGTCATCGGGGCCGCTGGGAATGGGCAGGAGGATGAGACCCGGAGCCAATGGCATTCTATAGCGTCAGCGTCTCCAGCTGCCCGCTCGATGGTTATTGGTTCGCGTTGCAGTAATATAATATACACACACACACACACCCAACCACCCACACACAGACCCGTGGATATGTGAAATAAAAATTGTGAAATGAAAGGAAAAAGCGGAAAATGCTGAGAAAAAACTGAACTGAAGAAGCCATAGAAAACTATTGGAAATGCGCGGACTGAGAGGGCAGATTTTAACTCAACTTTGTTGCAACGCGACATTTTTTTTTCGGTATGCCCCCGAGGCTGAATAAGTGGTGGGTGGGCGAATGTGGGTGGACGCCATTGTCATAATGACGCGCATTCCTGTGCACTTGGCTGTGGATTGCAGGATCCCTTTCTGCCAGCTCGCCATTCGCTAATTAAGTCATGGCATGTCCTTTCGTCCAACCAAAGACACTGAAAGTAATTTTAGTTTATAATTTATGAAAACAGAGGTAGTTTTTAATAAAATTATATAGTATAGATTAGTTTTATCTGAATGGTGGATTGGCCAATGTTACGCAAATTTGTTTATAGGTAGAAACCATCTAAAAGGAGCTCCTATTGCACTTGTTCCTTGATATGGATTTCCATAACGAAAGTTTGGATAAAAACATTTTACTAAACATCGCTCAGCTGAAATGATATGACAAGTGAGAAATCCCCCGCAGCCCACTAGAGATGCGTATGTAAATTCCCCAGAAGCTAATCAGGCAAGCCTAACGAAATTTGCTTTGAAAATCCGTCAAAGTCACAGGCTTTTGGCCCGCGGCAGCCATCGCAGGCCATTAGCCTATAAAAGCGCCCACACATGTTAGCCGAAAGTCCTCGAGGCGCACTCCGCCTGTTGTCATCGCTATCGGTATCCACAGGAGTATCAGCATCATCATCATTTCACAAGCCAGGACGAAGGGAACTGAGATGCAAACTCGGATATATACAAGTCAAATTTGGCTTTATTTTACTAAGCAGATGTCTTTTATTAGGGCAAAGTTTGAATCGAAAGGTTCAAGATTAGAACTTCCTTTAAGTATGACAAGAAATTTTATATTTTAGGGTCCCATTCTTTACATTAATAAAACCTTTTTGTTAACTTTCCAAAAATAAGAGTTTCTTTTTATAGCTATTTTTACCCTTTCTAAATTGTTGCCAACACTGTTGTTAACAAAAGGGGAAATCTGATACTGGCCCGAAAAACGCGTCAAACTTTGGCAGCCGCTGGCTGACTGGAGGGGTATGGATTTCTAAAAAATGTGTTGCATGTTTATTTGAAAAATCGCTAAAGGATAACTAAAGGATTCCCCTAAGGGTATTTCGCAAGCTCGAGTGATTTGTTTGCGAATTTACATATATATACACACACCCGTCGACTCCATACCCCCGAACTCCCAGGGTGTTTTCCAACTCGTTGAACAGCTCCCCGCTTTCTTGGCTTTCTTCGCAACTTACACCACTCAATATACGCTGAGGCAATAATTTTGCATAACGAATAAGTTGAATAAGTAAAAGTATCCAAATTGAATCAGTGCAGAATGGAATCCGCCCAGGGAGTGGAGCACAGGCAGGTGGCGGTGGTGTTAAGTGGCAAATTCAATTTCGCTGGCAGTTTACAGCTCCAAGTTGACATTTATGAGACGCCGCCATTTTTGTGGCGGTTTTCAGACACTGCCACATATCGATTTCCAGCTATTGTCGTGGGCGGAGAGGCATGAGCAGTCCCCAAATGGCTACATCATTAACTAACCTGCCCCGGAGTCGGTAAATAATGTAATTTATGAATTACAATTAAAAATGCGCCAAGGGCAGAGGGCAGAGAGCCAGGCCACATGTGTCCGCCCTTTTCGGGGGGTGCTTACCCTCGGCTATCGTTGTCTGGCCATTTTTGTGCTTTGCTCATCAGTCCTGATCCTGTTCCTGGCCCCTTTTCCACTCCTTGCAACTGTAATAAAACTCCCCATTTGGTCATTTGGCAATTATCCCGATAAATTAGCAGCCGGACAATGGCACAGCAGCGTCGCGTCGCCATCCAACCACCCACACTGACCCTCCACGTCCTCTTTTATTTTTGGGAAATGAACAAGGGTTGGCCCAATGGGTAAGTTAAGTCTTCGAATTACGATTTCAATTGCGTGGCCGATTTTATGCGGTTTAACCTAGCTATAATACCTGTATCTAAGTTGGCATGGATGAGAGCGGTTGCAATTCTCAATAATATGCCAGATCTTGTTAAATGCATACTTTTATTAAGATCTTGGTAAATATTTTTATGACTATTCCCGTAAAAATCGCTACCAAATATACTTTTTTACCCATTGGTCAGTTTTTGCTGGCAACACATTTCAGGTGTGAAAAATCGGCTTTTCAGGTTAACAAAATCAACTTGGTAACGAATTAAAGCGAACCGAAAAGCGAGCGGCCAGCAAAAACAGGCACAAGTGCAAACAGAAGTTGGGTTGGGGGTGGAGTATAGGGGCTTTGGAAAAATGCAAAATAAACGAAGGGCTGGCAAAAACGAAGCCACCGAGCGTGTAAAAGGCCTCGCAAACTCAATCAATCAACGGATGGTATAAAGCGCGTATACGCAGTGTTGTCCATGCCAAAGTAACAAATGAACACACACCAGCGCATAGCCCACACACACATGCATGAGTGTGTAGCACACAAACACAGACTCATACACACACAGACTCAGGTTGTTAGCCGCTTGTTTCGCACTGCTTGCCAAATACCACAAAATCTATTTCGATTCGCAATCAAAATCCCAAATTCCATTTGTACTATGACGAGTCCGGACTATGGCGTACGGGCTTTGGACTACGACTGCCACTACAGCCGTACGGACTGTTTGTGCGTATGTGCATGTGTGTGTGTGGGAGTAGGCCGGAGATTGGTAGAGACTGCGATTGGGAAATCGTGGCCAACTTGTGCTTGAGTGCTTTCGTTTGTATTTAGTGGTGGACTTAAAAATACAGAGGGCTCCCCGTTCCACTACCCCTTTTGCTCTAAGCTCCTAGTTTCACCTCCCCCTAAAAGCGGGACTCCCACAAAGGCCGTGGCCACAAACGCATCCGGCGCTGACGTTGAACGATGAGTCGCCGCTGAATGCCGAACAGTCTATGCCTATTTCCATGTCCTGTTCATGTAGCCAAACACTGGAAATAATACTTGATTATAATTATTTCTCTGACAAACCTTGCTGAGTTTAAATCACTAAGTGAGACTAAAACTTTGCTACAAAAATATATAGTTTCTTCCTGAAAGGAGATTTTTGGCATTATAAAGAATATTACTTTCTTTGACTTTTCCCAGTGCATTCGTTTGCGATCTGCCCCTGCCCCACCCTCCGCCAGTTGTCCATTCAGCTGCCATGTTTTCCAATTTTCGGCGCACTGCGTTGCATTCAGATTCGTTCAGATGCAACAGCAGTAGAACAACAGCAACAAACGTCGCTCGCTTTTCCCGAAATTTAGTCATTGTTCGCGAAATTGCTTATAAACGCGGCCCTCGCCGACGACTCCCCTGCCATTTCCCCAGTTTTCCGGGGCCACCCAATCTGACCTGCCATGTCGACGCTTTAGTTAGGCCAAATGCAGATGGAAGGGAGTGAGTGCAGCTGATTGCAACTCTTTGGCTTTGGCTTTGGCGGTTGGACAACCGCAGCGGGCCGCTTTTTGATCGTCCGCCGCCCAAGTAAAAATATTATTACACTCTCGCGGCCCCTCGTAAAAGGGGTTTTCCCAGTGGGCCAGCACACAACGCAGAGTAAAACCGTCTTCCTCCTATAAAATCATCCCGAATTTATTTGACGGAAAATGCTGCAAAATTAACAAAACGATTGAGTGGAAACACCGCTAAAAGCTCTAACAAAACTTGGCCTAAATGGTCGGGGAAGTAATGTATTATGGTAAAAAGGTTGAGTGGGCATATATTGGGAGAGGAAAAGTCTGTTATCGTCATGGCTATCAATGTATAAGTCTTACTAGTTTATAAATCTTATGTTCAAAGATCAAAGATCGTTTCAGTTATAAGCATAATTTTGATTTTAATAGGTTTACATTAATAAATATCCTAACAGTTTAAAGTTGCATAAAGATTGGAATATATATTACAACTAATATATTTTTACATTATTTGCAAAGAAGTTTTTGATTTGGCTTGTATTACCCCTCGGCAGTAATTGGTAATCCTACACTTGGCTTCTTTTCCTTGGCAGACTCTTGCGGCTGCACCAGCGCCTTAGTTGGTAGAAGGTGCTTCAGGGGTTCTAGTATCCGTGTCTGGTCGAAATAGGTGAGCTGCTGCTGCTCCAGCTGAAGCAGGCTAATCCCCAAGTGAACGGTCAGCGACTGCGGAGGGAAGACGCCGTGGACGCAACGCTGAACATAGGGAACCAGATCATAGGCCAAGCATGAGCAGAGCCGAATAAACGCCTCGCGTTCACTGCCGGCGAAAGCCTGCTGTTCCTGCCGATAGAAGGCAAGGACTCGTTGGGCGGCCAGTTGCAGAGAGTGCTGCAGGCACCGAGTCACATCCGTGGCCAAAGCCAAGGGAGCACACAATCGTAGATCGTTTAAAGCACTCAAATAACCATTGCACAAAGCGGCTAGGGGATAGAAATCCAACAGAGTTTCCGGCGGAGCAAAGGACTCCTGCTCAGGATCCACCTGCTTACGAGCGTGCGAGTGCAGCGCCACCTTGTTAATCAGCGTGAATCTCTCAAGCTCCCGATCGAACTGTTCATTCACTTGCTCTACACTGGTCTCAAAGCGTCGTCGAATTACTCCCACGAAAATGGGTGCCATGAGGGCACGAAAGTCGGCACCCACACGACTGAAGGATAGCCCAAAGTACATGCACTGACCCAGAACTGTCTCCACGGAGCCCACTCCGAGTTGTAGATCTCGCTCCAGAGTCTTTAGGAAGTCGTCGATCTGAAGGAGCACGCAGAAATAACATTATTTATATATTAATAAGTAAGCCGAGGAGTTCAAACCTTATTGTGCAGCCACGCCTGGAAAAGTCGATCTCCATTGCAGCTGACCCCCTGCAAAGGCCTTAAAGAGCTTTGAGATTTCAAGGAGCCCTCCTCTTCCGGAAAAATAGCCCGGTACTGGGTGATGATGTTAAACAGGTTAATACGCGTGATTTCAATAGTTTTGGATAGGTGTTGCTGGGCTGTGGAGAAAAAGAAAATAATTTTGATGTTCTTCAATTCGTATACAAGTCCATTGCCAACGAACCATCTCCAGTGGGTATGGCCTCCAGGCATGAAGTCAGCCAGGCGTCCCTTGCCTGCAGAAACTTCAGCCGTAGCTCGTTGTCCCCGAAGGCCTGCATCCGGCGCAGATAGCCCACAATCTGCAAGCACTTGGGCAGCTGAAGATCCGTTCGCAACTGTGCCACCAACTGCACCAGCATGGTGTGCCAGAGGGCTTCAACCGAGCGGACAATGCTCTGTAAAGGATAAGCTAATATTACGAAGAAAAGAAATCGCAAGAAGAACTCACTGTGACGACTGGAATGTGCCCCTGGTGCTGACCCAAGCGGGTGGCATATGCGGCTAGTTCTAGGGCCTCCTCGTAGCGACCTTCGCGGATGCAGCGTTCCATGAGTTGCGGCAGTTCAAGCACCTCCAGTAACTGAGCGTTCTTTTGCAAAGTGATGGAATTCAGACGCCTTTGCTCATTCAGTTCGGCAGAGTCCTGCAAGAATCGTTCGCACTGAACACTGAGGTCTGGAAGCTTGCCCACCAGCGTGTCCAGTTGCTGCTCCGAGCGGAGGAACTCACTGAAGATCGAACGTGAGTTTTCAGCCGTCGTGATGAAGGTTCTGTAATTGGAGATGGCCAGGTCCTGGGTCTGCTCTAGGATGCTGCGCGTTTCGTCTGCCAATCGAGTCTGCTCCTTTTTCAACTGTTCCACCTTGCAAGTGCCCAATTTGGCCAGATAATTGTCCAACTCCGGATTGCCACGCAGATTGTCTGGCGGGGACACAGAACATTAGTTATCTGGTCTTCTTACTCATTCTCAGATTCAAACTCACCTGGCACTCCGTCCGGAAATATTAACTTCAACACTCTCTCGTTCTCCAAGTCCATTTTGTCCGGAAAATCCATTGGTTTTTGGTTAAAATTCCGAAAAAAATAAACTTATATTTGTTGTCGCTTCACTACGCTAAACAGCTGATATGTCGATGGGTCAGAAAAAGCAGACCACTTGGCCACACTATTTACCACCAGAATCACCCTGTGGATTTTGGTCTGACAAAAGATAACTAATATACCACTCAACTAACGTATTTTAAAATTTAAATCTTATTGTAACTGTTTTGATTTAAAATGTAACCTTTATTTATACTTTTCAGTTAAATATTTTTTAACTTTCGGCTAAGTCCCGGTAGTTGTAATCCGGGTAATTCTGCAACTTGTCAATGATCCAGGGCATGAAGAGGGAGACGTTTGTGTTGAAGGCGCCGCCCTGCATTCCGCATGCATAGTTTCCGTGGGAAATGATACCGAATTGGGTGCTTTGCGAGACCACCGGACCACCGGAGTCTCCCCGGCACGAGTCCACGATGCGGCTGGTGGTGCAAAAGAACATGCCGTCGGTGTGGTAGGCACACGGTCTGTTATTCACAATTATCTCCTGAAGGCTTTTAGAGTGAGTACCAAGCTCAGTGGTTCCCCATCCATATGCAAAATATGTTTGGCCTGGTAACGAGGTGAAGGGATGCATCCTGCTATCTACAGGTAGACATACAGGCAGTATTGGTCCTAGGAGTTAAATGTGCAATTTCCGTTATCTTCTACTTAACTAATCTTATAGAGATTTGTATATTATAAGGACTCACCTCTGTTATCTACCAAGCCGTCGAGTTTGAGCAGTGCAACGTCATTAATCTGCTCGCTCCAGCTAAATTCTTCGTGCACAAATCTTCGCTCGATTCCAAAGTTCTTCATGCAGCTACTCGGGGATGTAATTTGGCTGGCTCCAAGGCAAACCTTTAACCTTTTAACATATACAGTTAGATCGAATTAGATGTATGTATATACAATCCCATACTCATGTTTTCTGGGACACATCTCCAAGCAGTGCGCAGCGGTAAGGATGAAATCTAAGTAGAGAAAGAAAGGTCCGCTGATAACTGAGATCTATGGTTACAGATTAAACATTCTTACTTCGGGTCACCAGACTGCCACCACATCGGCACTCGTTGAGGTCATCTGGCAGATAAAGTAAGGCCATATAAGGAGCAAAATTCCACGATACATTCTGTCCACCGTGCATATACTGCCTGTTATGCATATCACAATTATATTTGAGATTCATCAAGGTCGTGATACGAGCGGCGCTAAAGGATCCGGTTGCAGGCGCAGGATTTAGGAAAAGAATCCCCCAGATCAAAGCACATTGAAAGCAAGTCTTGATCATGTCGTAAACAAAGATTGACGGCGAGTGTGAATCTCTCTTACAGTCGTAGCGACTATATATGCTCTTGTGAATTTTGAATTTCATGGAAATGGGAGATAAGAGTGGGCCGTTGATCGCAAAACAAAAGTGAATTAATCTTTGAAGTATTTATTTATATTCATGAGTGCATTGAAATTACTTCATTCTGCTGCTAGAATATTTATTTTAAAGTTAACAGAGTTAACAAATTAAGAGGTACTGTTCGTCGCAGCTCTAGTTTTTATTAAGAATAATCTTTATTAAAATTCTAAGGTTAGAGGCAACCTGTAATCTCTGTAGTCATCAATCACCAATGGATGGACAGCTTGTCGACGATCCATGGCATGAAGTAGGAGACATTTGTGTTGAAGGCGCCGCCCGCCACTCCACATGCACCAGGATATCTACCGTGGGCTATGATACCAAACTGTGTCCGGTCCACGACCAACGGACCACCAGAATCTCCTTGGCACGAGTCCACGATGTGGCTGCTGGTGCAGAAGTACATTCCATCGGTGTCATAAGCGCACGGCGTCTCCTTTACTATGATCATCTGAAGGGTCCTAGAGTGAACTCTAAGCTCAGTGGTTCCCCAGCCATAGGCCATAAAGGTTACCTCCGGAACTGCGTAGAAGTCATTCAATGCGCTGCTTATAGGCAGACAAACCGGCTCGATTGGTCCTAAGACATGAATTTTTTGTTACCAAAAATTATGCAATAAGTACTTATACTAACCTTTGCTATTCACGATCCCGTCGAGTTTAAGCAGAGCAATATCATTCACCTGCTCGCTCCAGCTGAATTCTTCGTGCACAACGCGTTGCTCGATTCCGAAGTTCTTCAGGCAGCTGCTCGATGAGGTTATCAGGCTAGCTCCAAAGCAAACTCTTAACCTGATTAGGAATCCCAAAATATAGTTTAACGAAAGGCTTCATCGCATTTCATTTCACTTACTCATTTCTTCTTGGACACATCTCCAAGCAGTGTGCAGCGGTTAGAACAAATCCTAAGTTAAGGAAAAGTTATATAACATCACTATATTTAAGGTTTCTTACTTGGAGTGACCAGAGTGGCACCACAGCGACATTGGTTGAGGTCATCTGGCAGATAGAGTAAGGCCACCCAAGGTGATGCCCTCCAATCCACATCCCGTCCACCATGCAAAAACATCTTCCTCCGCAAAAGGCAATTGTATTCGAGATTCATCAAGGTGTTGTTGACAGCTGCGTTGAAAGATCCATTGGCAGGCGGGGAGAAGATCACCAGAATCCCCAAAATTAGATAGTTTAGGAAGCAAGTGATGATCATGATTAGAACAGAGATCGACGACGACTGTAAGCCGATATTATAGCTTTCTCGGCTATATACGAGTATACGCTTACCCCTTATCACCTTGTAAAATGCGAAATTCCTATGAATGAGAGATAACGCAAGGCCTTTGATCACAAAAACTAAAAGATTTCGTTTTTTATTTAATTCATTTGAATTAGTTAATGGAAATTAAATGTAAAAATCATGAAAAGATAAGATTAACTTGATTGAGTATTTTGTTTACATTTTGGACTTAGCTTTCCTGTGACTACAATTTTCCGCCTTGTATATATTCTCTTTTTAAACTTCTTACCCTTTCGATACGCACTTTACTTTCCTGTAGCCCAGACCCCCGATCAAATCGTTCAACTGGAGTGAACCTGCTTCTCAGGCGCAACCGCAGAGGCAGTTATTGTTTTTGCACTTTCACTTGCTCTGACCCAAATAACGAAAAGAGTTTTGGGCACCTCTAAAAGGGTAAGCCAAAGCTTTTACTAAAACAGAGACAGTTTAATAAATGTTAATTTATTATTTACAATTTAATCTTGCCAACCATAAATTCGATCAACAAATATGTATTTTTTATGATTTCTGGGTAAACCCATTACCTTTTCCACATATTTCGCAATCGCAATTATTTGGCAATCGCCGAGGAAAACCAGTTTTTGCTTTGACGGTCAGGAAAGGGAGCCGGCTGGGGACGTAAAAGTCCATCAGCGACCACCCACTCTACTGGTGGACACGAACTCTCTCCACCATGAAGTCAGCCAGGCGTCCCTTGCCTGCAGAAACTTCAGCCGCAGCTCGTTGTCTCCGAAGGCCTGCATCCGGCGCAGATAGCCTACAATCTGCAAGCACTTGGGCAGCTGAGGATCCGTTCGCAACTGTGCCACCAACTGCACCAGCATGGTGTGCCAGAGGGCTTCAACCGAGCGGACAATGCTCTGTAAAGGATAAGCTAATATTACGAAGAAAAGAAATCGCAAGAAGAACTCACTGTGACGACGGGAATGTGCCCCTGGTGTTGACCCAAGCGGGTGGCATATGCGGCTAGTTCTATGGCCTCCTCGTAGCAACCTTCGCGGATGCAGCGTTCCATGAGTTGCGGCAGTTCAAGCACCTCCAGTAACTGAGCGTTCTTTTGCAAAGTGATGGAATTCAGACGTCTTTGCTCATTCAGTTCGGCAGAGTCCTGCAAGAATCGTTCGCACTGAACACTGAGGTCTGGAAGCTTGCCCACCAGCGTGTCCAGTTGCTGCTCCGAGCGGAGGAACTCACTGAAGATCGAACGTGAGTTTTCAGCCGTCGTGATGAAGGTTCTGTAATTGGAGATGGCCAGGTCCTGGGTCTGCTCTAGGATGCTGCGCGTTTCGTCTGCCAATCGCGTCTGCTCCTTTTTCAACTGTTCCACCTTGCAAGTGCCCAATTTGGCCAGATAATTGTCCAACTCCGGATTGCCACGCAGATTGTCTGGCGGGGACACAGAACATTAGTTTTCTGGTCTTCTTACTCATTCTCAGATTCAAACTCACCTGGCACTCCGTCCGGAAATATTAACTTCAACACTCTCTCGTTCTCCAAGTCCATTTTGTCCGGAAAATCCATTGGTTTTTGGTTAAAATTCCGAAAAAATAAACTTATATTTGTTGTCGCTTCACTACGATAAACAGCTGTGACGATGGGTCAAGAAAAACAGACCACTTGGCCACACTAATTTACCACCAGAATCACCCTGTGGATTTTGGTCTGACAAAAGATAACTAATATACCACTTAACTAACGTATTTTCAAATTTAAATCTTATTGTAACTGTTTTGATTTAAAATGTAACCTTTATTTATACTTTTCAGTTAAATATTTATTAACTTTCGCTAAAATCCCGGTAGTTGTAATCCGGGTAATTCTGCAACTTGTCCATGATCCAGGGCATGAAGAGGGATACGTTTGTGTTGAAGGCGCCGCCCTGCATTCCGCATGCATAGTTTCCGTGGGAAATGATACCGAATTGGGTGCTTTGCGAGACCACCGGACCACCGGAGTCTCCCCGGCACGAGTCCACGATGCGGCTGGTGGTGCAAAAGAACATGCCGTCGGTGTGGTAGGCACACGGCCTGTTATTCACCATAATCTCCTGAAGGCTTTTAGAGTGAGTACCAAGCTCAGTGGTTCCCCATCCATATGCAAAATATGGTTGGCCTGGAAACGAGGTGAAGGAATGCATCCTGCTATCTACAGGTAGACATACAGGCAGTATTGGTCCTAGGAGTTGAATGTGCAATTACCATTATCTTCTACTTATCTTATCTTATAGAGATTTGTATATTATAAGGACTCACCTCTGTTATCTACCAAGCCGTCGAGTTTGAGCAGTGCAATGTCATTAATCTGCTCGCTCCAGCTGAATTCTTCGTGCACAAATCTTTGTTCGATTCCAAAGTTCTTCATGCAGCTACTCGGGGATGTAATTTGGCTGGCTCCAAGGCAAACCTTTAACCTTTTAACGAATACAGTTAGATCGAATTAGATGTATGTATATACAATCCCATACTCATGTTTTCTGGGACACATCTCCAAGCAGTGCGCAGCGGTAAGGATGAAATCTAAGTAGAGAAAGAAAGGTCCGCTGATAACTGAGATCTATGGTTACAGATTAAACATTCTTACTTCGGGTCACCAGACTGCCACCACATCGGCACTCGTTGAGGTCATCTGGCAGATAAAGTAAGGCCATATAAGGAGCAAAATTCCACGATACATTCTGTCCACCGTGCATATACTGCCTGTTATGCATATCACAATTATATTTGAGATTCATCAAGGTCGTGATACGAGCGGCGCTAAAGGATCCGGTTGCAGGCGGAGGATTTAGGACAAGAATCCCCCAGATCAAAGCACATCGGAGGTAAGTCTTGATCATGTCGTAAACAAAGATTGACGGCGAGTGTGAACATCTCTTACAATCGTATCGACTATATATGCTCTTGTGAATTTCGAATTTCCTGAAAATCGGAGATAAGAGTGGGTCGTTGATCGCAAAAAAAAAGGTGAATTAATCTTTGAAATACTTATTTATATTCATGAGTGCATTGAAATTTCTTCATTCTGCTAGCATATTTATTTTAAAGTTAACAGAGTTAATAAATTAAGAGGTACTGTTCGTCGCAGCTCTAGTTTTTATTAAGATTAATCTTTATTAAAATTCTAAGGTTAGAGGCAACCTGTAATCTCTGTAGTCATCAATCACCAGTGGATGGACAGCTTGTCGACGATCCACGGCATGAAGAAGGAGACATTTGTGTTGAAGGCGCCGCCCGCCACTCCACATGCACCAGGATATCTACCGTGGGCGATGATACCAAACTGTGTCCGGTCCACGACCAACGGACCACCAGAATCTCCGTGGCACGAGTCCACGATGTGGCTGCTGGTGCAGAAGTACATTCCATCGGTGTCATAAGCGCACGGCGTCTCCCTTACTATGATCCTCTGAAGGGTCCTGGAGTGAACTCTAAGCTCAGTGGTTCCCCAGCCATAGGCCATAAAGGTTACCTCCGGAACTACATAGAAGTCATTCAATGCGCTGCTTATAGGCAGACAAACCGGCTCGATTGGTCCTAAGATATGAATTTTTTGTTACCAAAAATTATGGAATAAGGACTAATACTTACCTTTGCTATTAACGATCCCGTCGAGTTTAAGCAGAGCAATATCATTCACCTGCTCGCTCCAGCTGAATTCTTCGTGCACAACGCGTTGCTCGATTCCGAAGTTCTTCAGGCAGCTGCTCGATGAGGTTATAAGGCTAGCTCCAAAGCAAACTCTTAACCTGATTAGGAATTCCAAAATATAATTTAACAAAAGGTTATCATCATATTTCATTTCACTTACTCATTTCTTCTTGGACACATCTCCAAGCAGTGCGCAGCGGTTAGAACAAATCCTAAGTTAAGGAAAGGTTATATAACATCACTATATTTAAGGTTTCTTACTCGGAGTGACCAGAGTTGCACCACAGCGACACTGGTTGAGGTCATCTGGCAGATAGAGTAAGGCCACCCAAGGCGATGCTCTCCAATTCACATCCCGTCCACCATGCAAAAACAACTTCCTCCGCAAAAGGCAATTGTATTCGAGATTCATCAAGGTGTTGTTGACAGCTGCGTTGAAGGATCCATTGGCAGGCGGGGAGTATATCACCAGAATCCCCAAGATTAGGTAGTTTAGGAAGCAAGTGATGATCATGATTAGAACAGAGATCGACGACGACTGTAAGCCGATATTATAGCTTTCTCGGCTATATACGAGTATACGCTTACCCCTTATCACCTTGTAAAATGCGAAATTCCTATGAATGAGAGATAACGTAAGGCCTTTGATCACAAAAACTAATAGATTTCGTTTGTTTTTTATTTAATTCAATTGAATTAGTTAATGGAAATGAAATGTAAAAATCATGAAAAGTTAAGATTAACTTGATTAAGTATTTTGTTTACATTTTGGACTTAGCTGTCCTGTGACTACAATTTTCCGCCTTTTTAATAAAGGTTTTAATTCTCTTTTTAAACTTCTTACCATTTCGATACGCACTTTACTTTCCGGTAGCCCAGACCCCCGATCAAATCGTTCAACTGGAGTGAACCTGCTTCTCAGGCGCAACCGCAGAGGTGGTTATTGTTTTTGCACTTTCACTTGCTCTGACCCAAATAACGAAAAGAGTTTTGGGCACCTCTAAAAAAGTAAGCCGAAGCATTTACTAAAACAGAGACAGTTTAATAAATGTTAATTTATTATTTACAATTTAATCTTGCCAACCATAAATTCGATCAACAAATATGTATTTTTTATGATTTCTGGGTAAACCCATTACCTTTTCCACATATTTCGCAATCGCAATTATTTGGCAATCGCCGAGGAAAACCAGTTTTTGCTTTGACGGTCAGGAAAGGGAGCCGGCTGGGGACGTAAAAGTCCATCAGCGACCACCCACTCCACTGGTGGACCCGAACTCTCTCCACCGACCCACCCACCGCCGCAGCACCTTAGCTACCTGGTGGCGCAATTCTTACTCAATGGGAATCTTCGTAGCCAATAAAAAACGGACGATGAGGAACTGCAGTAATACAATATTGTTCGTGTGGCGTCTTGTGGGCGGAGATGGGACCCTGGTGGGCGGTGGGCAGAAACGAGGGGCGGGCGAGGACATAATAAACACACAACGATAATTAAACTGCTGTTAGCCTGGCCGACAGACCGCTTTCAACAGTTCGTAGATGGTAGCGAGGGTCGACTCAGGATAATGCAAAAAATCGAACGCATAAACTAGAATATATTAAATAAATTAATAAATAATATATTTTGTTCTTACAAATTTCTTACTAAAATGTGGCATTATCGATATGTATTTAGAAAAAGTGACATGTTTTCCTGAAATCTGCTGACAAACTGCTCAGTCAACCCTCGCTAAACGCAGCGCCTGCAATCAAGTCCCAAAGATGCGCGCCAAAACAAGCTCTGTTCTCGGAGCGGTGTCTAATCCTCGACTTCGGCCGCAAATGAATCAAAACAAAGACCGGGCAACAACAACTGTTCGGGTCCACCACTGACCTACTAAGAAGACTGCGAGACGCACCATCCGCTTGGAGCACTACGAGAACCGGGGGCTCCAGCTCTCGAGCTCCCGAAGACTGTCTTCGGGTTCTTCGTTGCGTGTGGCGCTTTTTCTTCGTCGGTTCGGTCGCTACTCCTCTGCTTTCTGGCTCTTTTTCACTTTGATTTTTTCTGCCTTTTTGCGCTGGGTCGTTTTTCAGCGTTTGTCGACGAATAATAAATAAGAAAAAGTTTTCCTGCAAAAGCAAACCAAAAAGCAAAAACAAAAGCAAGCCGAACCGTAAAAATAAAAAGCGTTTTCGCTGGCGCAGAGCTGAGATCCATTGATCGATCGTAGTGTATCTCTCTCTTTCTCTGTCTGCCTCTCTGCACTGGAAATAGAAATGAAAAAAGTATTTATCTTAATAAAATTATAAAACATTCTTAGCTTCATGACTTAATGTGGGATCATAGCATAGAAAATATTTATAATTTATCTAAGAACTATTCCATACGTAAGGGTTTCTTGTTACTTTATAGGGTGTGAACTGTATATTAATATTAATATTAAACCATTTATATAATAAAGATTTCATAAAGTATTTGTTAATTTTTCCGAGTGTACTTGAGCTGGGTGCGAGGTGGAGGAAGAGAAAAAGAGAGGCCGACGTTTTGCCGTGGGACTTTGGAGCTTGATCAGCCGCTGGTGGCGTCGCAGTTGCAAACGTGAGTCCGAGGCGTGTGAACGTGATTTTAGGCTTTTCGCTGGTTGGCTCTATTCGATTTCCTCGATTCCGGCGCAGTGGGAAAAGTCCCCCTGCCCAAGGAAAACCAAACTAACAAAAAAAAAAAAACAGAAGCGGGACCCCAGAGGTCGCGGAAACTGCATGCGATTTGCAGTTGTGTTGAAATATGGACTTTACCACTAATTTTCATAGCCCTGCGAGTGTGTGTGAGCGTGCGAGTGTGAAATCTGCGTGAAACATTGCCAAATCCTTTCGACAGATTTCTATTTGCACCTATTTTGCATTCGGCATTCGGCATTTGCCATCGACGCGAGTGTCAATCGAGTGAAAGTAAACAATGGTGCGCACCCAAATGGATAGGCGATCGCAGATCACTAGACTAATAACGGTGAGTGGGGCTGGCCCATGGCCATTGCCTTGCATAATAAAGTGTCAAAAATTTAACAATTGCAACAGCAAAGCAAATGTAAATCTGCTAACGGGTCTAGGGTATAGAGGTGGTGTTAGACCTCAATACATGAATTGAAATTATATAAACAGGCGAAATGTTAATAGTAACAAAAGTGTAAAACTAAGAAGGCGAAGAAATTTAACTACTTTCATTAATATTCCCAGAGTAGAAAAGCCTATATAAGACATGAAAACTTATAGAAAGGGATGTAACGATGAGGTATCATTTACTTAAATATTTTAAAATATTTTTCACTAATTTTGTACCTTTAAATTGGGGAAATTAACTAATATATTGAGTTTTATATATAAAAATAATTTAAGTATAAGGAATATGTCAATCCTCCTAACATTTGTATACTAAATCCCATCTATCCAAGCTCTCAATCCCACAAATCAGTCAATCAACCTAAATCAATAGCAGTTCGGAATATTTCGTTATTAGTGTCCCCTTTGGCCGCAAGCCATTGATGAAAATGAAATCGTAATTAAAAGATGGTCGCACGTTGCTGTCCGTCATTTTTTCAAAATGTGTTGAAATCGATAAACCGATAGGGCTAAGCGTTTTATGCATATTAACAACTTCTGTTGGCTCGGGTCTGCGAGTGGGGGCTTTGTTTTCTTTTAACGCATGACTACGCAATCATAAAAGCATAACCAACAACGAAAATGCTCAAAGTTTCCGCTGTGTTTGCTGTTGTGGTTGGCTTTGCCGGCCCCAAACAGATGAAAAAAAGAGAGAGAGAAGCGGAATAATATAAAAAGTTTCACTTTCTTCGAGAGCAAAGCCGCTGGCTTGGGATCGACTCGTTGGATTTGGCCCAAGCCCAAGCCCAAAGCCAAAACTGAAAACCAAACCGAAAGCGAATCGGCTGACCAAAAAATGTATTGACTTTGCCAAAAATGGGAAGCAAAGTTCGCGGCCTTTTCCGGCGACGTCCAATCAGTGAAATTTTTACCTTTAATTAAACATTTCGCCATGAATATGCATTGCTCAGATCTGGGAAGAGCTTGCAGCAGGCAGCAAGTCAAGTTTGTTGGTTGAGTCTTTTGTTTTGGTTGGCCTGCAACCTCGTCAAGTTTGTCGCCTGAGTCTTTTGTTTTGGTGCGGAAAATTTCACCACTCACCAGCTGCTCGCCTGGCAATTAGCAGAAACAGCAGCCGCATAGCCAAATTTGGTTAAGTGTAACATCAACTTCATTTCCAGGGCCAATTGAATTTATAAATAATTCATTCTAGCCACTCGCCAAGAGAGTTGCAGATGGACGGACGGCGGGCAACATTGTATTTGTATTTGGGAAATGAAGACATAGACTGGAACGTCTCCTCCTCGAGCTACCCATCCCCCTAGTACCCCCCGGACAGACTGGGTTTTCGTAGAAAGTCGCTGACACATTAAAGTGTTGCAATACGTTTCTCTGACGACAGCTCGGCATCGTCTGCGATTGACAAATGTCTTCCTCGATGCGAGTTGACTTAATGCCCATTTGCACTGCACCACAGCATCGACTCCGCACCACTGCAGTCAGCGCTGTTGACTATGTGCCGCTAGAAGCAGCTAGAAGTAGCCAATAAAAAATAACTCACCTTCATTCAGATTTATTTCGGCTATAATAAACATTTAGTTAGTTTTTGATATTAGATCGTAAGGTGGGCTTCTAAGAAAACAATCATCTTTGGCTAAATTCATATTATTAACTTTTGTGAAAGCGAATAAGACTAGCTGAGTTCAGAAAAACAGCCATTGCGCCACCACTGACTGCAGCAGTTGCAAGCTTTCACGGCTGATTGGACATATTGATTTGTTTCGTCGACTTGGGACGCTGACAGCAGCATTTGCTCCAATTTCCCCGTGGCTCCTTCGCTTCCAAGAAATATGACAATGTTAATGAATGAGATTCGGTTTAATTGTCTCGATGCACATGACAATCGACACTAATGCCAGCCGCCTTATTTATTTTTTTGCCGAACAAAGCGAAAGTAATTCTGCTTTCCATTTCAGGCTTCTTCTCATGCGGTCTGGGTCTGACCTGATTTGATTTTCAACACAAATTAGTTCGCAGAGAGCCATTTGTTTCGCACCCAAGTTGCGGTCTCATCCTCGGTTTTCAGACTCTGACTGAGACCGAGATCACTTTCTTCTCGTAATTGCCACGGTCTGGGTGCTGTGGAGCACTTGATTGAAGTACTTTTCCAAATCGGTGAAAAGGGAATAATTGCTAGAAGGAATTCCACCTTGTCATTGATATTTAAATTTTATTTGTGTACAAAATATATGAGAATCATTTGCCTGAATCTCTCTCAAGAAACTGAGGAAACTTTCAACGTTATGTTCTTTCTAATGTAACATTGTAAATGATTGATTAGATTTAAAGATTTTACAGAGGAAACTTTGAAAAGATTTCTCATTCATCATATGTTACCATTTTCATTGTTATTTTGGGCAGATTTAACGTTTAAAAATCCAAAACTTTCCTGGAAAATATTACGAAATACCTTGAGCAATGACCTTGCTTACGTATGCTAATGGGGCTGGAATTTTCCCGAAAGACAGAAACGCGAGATGGCGCAGATCAATGATCAATATTACCTAACCGCATGGCCAATCGTGTCGAGCTCACATTTTGGACACACATCCGCCAAGGGAGTCGATCACTTTCTTTTCTTTTCGTGAATCATCAGCGATCGATATGTGAGCGCCCATATGTGATTGTGTCTGCGGGCTTGCTGTTGGCCAAGATAACCGAATACCGAGTGCATATCAATTTTGGCCAACCGGTTCGGTTCGGTTCAGTTTGAGCCGCTCCAAGAAAAAGCGAAGATTCGGTTCAAAAATATACCCTATTAGGACCGGACTGAAGTACACAACTCCCGACTTTCAGGCAACAATTGTGCAATCGAAAAGGAAAGTTGAAAGGGCCCTTGTGGCGGCAAGGGAGGAGACGGCGGGAAATGCCGTGGCTTTTCCAGCGCGCCGCAATTTACTTTTACTTGGGTAACCCATTTCGCTTTTGATTGCTCTTTGCATTTCACTTTGCCGGCTGCCAGTGGCCGGTGGCCAGTTGCAAGTTGTCCGCTGCCAGCTGCCGGTTGCCGGTGAGCCACTTTGTTGGGGAGGGTGGCCAGGGTGGTGCAGGAAGCTGTGGCTCGGTCGGCGGCCAGTCTGGCGTGGTGGTATTTATGCAGAGAGAGAAAAATCAGCGTATAAAACGTGATATACAGGTATAAACGTATATTTAAAACTTGTTTAGTTCTTATTGTTTTGGGAAGCTACTTTCACTTTATATTGCCAACTATTCTTATTCATATAATTATAAACAAATAAATTTAAAAAGTTTGAAAATTGCCTCAGTGTAATGGAAGCTGCAATTGCGGCCATTCTCTCTCTGAGCTGCAGTCTGGAGGTGGCATGCAAATGCACATCGATCATCTTTATGACTTGTGATTGTCCAGTTGGCTTTGCGTGAAAGTAAAATTTGATTTTCTACCGGCTGCAGTTGAGTATCTCTGGCTCTGGCTAAATACGTTTTGGCCGAGTGAGAGCCACCCGGCCTTTTTTTTTGTTTCTTTCCCAGGTGCATTGAGCCCACTTGACTCCACTCTGCTGCCACAAAAAATGAAGTCTTAGCGTCACGCCATTTGCTTATCAGCGAGCGACTGTCGTTTCAATTAAGATTTCCTCTGCTCAGCTGGAGCTGCTGAGTCTTTCCATTAGTTGGTGGGGTCATTTGTTCAACCCATCCAGCTGGGAAGCAAAGCCTTTCCGAAAGCAGGAAACGTCAAACAATAAAACTTACATATTGAGTGATGAATCCACCAACTATTAAAATACCAAAGAAGTGAAAACTAGATTCAGTATCTAGGCATATTCTATCTATACTGTTACTTTTTATGATTTTTATTATTTTTTTGTTTATTGTTTTTTATTATTAAACATCAACTTACTTATTTTGTTATAGAGCGGCGTCTTCTGGTATTCGCTGGTGATCGTTCTGGTGGCTCTACCCTTGGCCTCCGCCGGATTTGGCTTTGACTCGGCCAATTCGTGCAGCCCCAACGGAAAGATGTCACGACGTGGCCGGGCCCAGATGCTGGCTGCAATACCTTGTGACCTGGGCCAGCAGGCCTTCTGCCACCTTCCCGGTTCCGCATATCCGTGGCACGCTGTCCGCCGATTTGTCCACGAGAATCAGGGCCTGATGAAGCGTATGTATGGCGATGTGAGGCACATTTCCATTCTGCGGGATGAGATTCAGAACAATGAGGTAGATGCGGACGACATTGAAGAGGCAGCGGAACGGTACAGCAAGGATGCAGGACGGCGGAGTGCCAAGTATTTGATGAATGGCAGGGATCGAGATCGCGATCGGGAAGATTTCGGGAGCTTCAAGAACAACGATGTCCTCATGGAGCCACACTTTCGACCAGTTTCTACGAGTACAACAAGTACGACCAAGGCGACAACAACCACAGCTGCTCCCGAAGTAATAAGTAGCACTACGGATAAAACTCCTAGGGAGGTGACAGACTCCTCTGGAAACACCACTATTGCAAGTACGGCAAGTGGATCTACTACTGTTCCACCGCCACCTGAACAACTTGAAGTAGAGGCGGAAATTGTGGAGATCCAACCCAGCCCCGAGTCGAATAGCGTCTACGAAGTGGTGTCCTCTTCCGCTCCATCAACCACGACCACTGAAAACCTTCTTCAGGGGGCGAAAACATACAGATCATCGACTCACCGCAACTGGGATTGCGTAATCTTAGCGGAGAGGCTAAAGCATCACAGGAACCACCCACTGTTACAACCTTAAAGCCCACATCTCTGCCCAAGAGCTCAACAGCCTCACCCAACAGACGAAGAAAGCCTGTAGAGACAACCACCCCAGCAGCCGCTTCAAAAACCTCTAGCACCATTCCGCCTCAAAGTTCAACAACAGCCACCTTGTTGATCCGCCGCAATGTAACCAAGTACTCACCAGCATCGGTGACCACACCCGTCAGCTTTGCCTCGCTCTTCTCCGGCACCTCTAGTGGACTTTTCAGTCCGGAGAAGCTGCGCAGGCCCTTGACTACCAGTAGTACAAGTTCTCCAGTACCAGCTCCACTGCCAGGAGGAGCCTCAGCGGCAGCCACTGGCAGCGTCACCAAGTCTGGACTGTTGAGGGAGGGTCAACTTTTCCAAGACGCCATGAAGCAAGAGCCCGTAGCCGTGGCCAGCAACTTGCGGGGAGTGTAAGTACAAGTTTATCTTCCACATTTCCAAATTAGTAAAAACTTGTTTCTCTTTCAGGAATGCATGTCCCGTCAAGGATGAAGTGGTGGCCCCCTTTTGGGCAAACAACACCCGTGGTGAGGTCCTGGCTCTGCTTAACCTTTATCCTTTCGAGCAGTACGTTCACTGGGAGAAGTGCACCCACGAGTTCAAGCAGATGTTCTGCCGGGATGGATGCAGGTGCGAACAGCAGTACCGCCTACACCGATTGCTGGCCTACGATCCCCACAACGAGTGCCGTGGAATCTTCTCCGACTGGTTCCGATTTCCGTCCAGCTGCATCTGCAAGTGCTATAACATACCAATGGAGTTCCGAGCCACCTCGCGTAGTCCAAGATCCGACAGTCGCTTCGATGCTCCAAAATCTGACCCCATTGAGGCTGCGGAGGCGGAGGTCCAGAGAGCCATCTACGAACATGCTACGGACGAGTGGTACCGCCCACGCGATGAGTTTGACTTTTTGGAGGGATAATCTTCCCGTTTACCCTCCTTCGATCAATTGTACAGTAGTTTTACATTTTGTAGATGTAGGCTTATCTATATTTCTTTAATCAGTCTTTTTAAGCTATCAGTCTCGACGTTCTTCTAGTCTTCAACTAAACTTCTTTCGAATATCTACAATCCGATTTGATAAAAATCCACCTAATTTTATGAGTTACTTCTATGTAATCTTTAACTTTACGTTTATTTTTAGAAGGGGGCATTATGTTATTGTAAATATAGACCAACATAATGCCCGACTTAGGCGAAAACTTACAGAGCGAATGTACCTTGAAATACTTGCGAACTCATCGCAGCCATGGAGCTGCGTGCAATGGTATTTAGTAGAGTTATTTATTTATTTATTCAGACCTTAGTTGTAGGCGTAACCATAAAAGTGGCCATAACATTAACCCCAAATCTTTTCATACCACACATCCCAGAAATAAAGCGCATGAAGCGTTTTAGAAAAATATTTATTGCAAAAAATGTATGCGATCATGTATTTAGAATGCTTACGTATGTATAAAATAGATTTTATTGTATTTAATACGTTGATATATATTACGGTTTACTCTTTAATTCATAGAAGGGTACGTTTGATAAATTAGATTTATAAATTGTATTTATGTGTAGAAAAGGGTTTCCTTTCTTAGAAACTTGAAGGCATTTCAGGCACTTCATTTCAGTTTAACCGTTTACCACTTAAGGCTAGTGATAGCTTTTTTGTCAATCACTCATTTAAATAAAATTTCTAGTATTGCTTAACTAGCCGTGTTTTTATTTTCAGGATCGGCCAAAGGCACTTGCCAAGAAAAGTAGTCGTAAGTAAAGCTCAATTTAGAAGTAGTTCTCAAAGAAAATTGGTTTAGATGAAACTATTTACTATACACAGCTGAACAGTTGAAGGTTTAAAGCCAAACTCTTTTTGCCACCGAGTTGATCAAATGGTTTAGGTAAGCAACGTAGAATATAAATGTTTTTACTTACAATTACATAATAATAAATTGCATACAAACAGACTTTCGGCTTAGAATAACGCCTTAATAGGAAATCTAGTTCCAGACGGTATATATAAATAAGATATATAAATTGTGGAAACAATTCCCTTGTTTGTGATCAAGTTTGACAGAATTTATCTGCCGGACCGGACAGACGAACCACGAACAAAGACTACATCTACAGACATAAATTAGATGACAGAGACAAGAAACAGGTAGAAATACCGCGCCCTAAATGCAAACAACTTAGTTGCAAGTCGACGCCAATTGAATACTCTGCGTTAAACAAAACAAATACGAACTCGATACTATTGATGCGCGTTGAAGAATACTAGGCGTGAGTTTCGCGTTGTGTGCTAATAACTAAAAACTAGGAAGACCCCACATCATGTTGTCCAGGTGATCCGATTGGATCAGGCACTCGACACGGGCACCCAAAGCAACTTGTCCTGTTCTTTGTCGACCGCGTCCTTGATTTGGGTGCACATGTGCTTGATACTGACGCCAGGGATGACGGCTAAATGAAAATTAGAAAGGTATATTGAAGAAATATTGGTAAATACTGTGCAAAATAAAAACTCACCTGATATGTACTGCTTGTAATCGGTCTCCAGCTTCATAGCCCGCTCGTACATCTCCTTGGCCGCTTTGGCCGAGATTTTGTCGGTACCAAAGTCTCGAATATCGCGAATTTGCTTCGCGGATTTAAAGCGCAGCAGTAGGACAATAGGGTATATTTGTAAACGCTGCAGACGCTCTACGGCGGAGATTGAAACGTCCAGGATGCAGTGACGACGATCCTGCAAAGGAAACGTTTAGTTTAAATATGATCTATGAAAAGCGAAAGAGTTACTTACATTCTTGCATGCATTGCTGATAGCCTCGACGGTGGTGCACTCAAACTTGTTGCCCCGCCGTCGATAGTCCACGAATATGTTCTCCTTCAGGCCCTCCTCCATGGCATCCTGCGAGCAGTCCATTGCTGTTACCTCACACAGCTTAAAGAGGTTGGAAAAGTCAATGGTCAGTCGGTCCATAAGGCACTCGGACAGCGGTCCGATGATCAGCACGGGCCGGCGAATGGGGGCTAAAAGATGGCAAATACATAAACTAGGTTTTCTTCATTAACATAATTGAATCTTACAGTCTAACAGCTCCACTCTCTGGTAGCTTAGGGCTCCACCATCATCGTTCAGCAGGCCTAAGTCTGGAAAGAAGCTAAGCTGTGTATTGCTGAAGCTGGCAATCTCCGTGGAGTCGCGGGACGAGCTGCGCTGGTTCTTTTTGCGACGAAAAAACGATCTTCTGGCCGAAGTGCTGCCGCGTCTGGCGGTTCCCGTATCACAGTCCACCACTTCCCCCGAACGCAGTTCCTCTTCCACCCTGCAAAGTTAAATAAGTCAATATATGCGAATATTTCATAATACTGGCTACATACTTCATTTGACTGGGTATTATACCGCATTCCTTTCGATGGCCCATGGCATCTAGCTTCCAGGCTCGCCACAAGCCAAACGTGCCGTTAAAGACCGTGTTGTCCACATAGAGCACCTCGTCCTTAACAAAACGCAAGTCGTCCTCGTTCAACTCACCAATCCGGTCAAACCCCACGCGAATGTAAAAGGAGTCGCCAGGCTCATCTTTAATTTGTTTCAGAGCTGCATGAAATATAAGCCGTTAAGTTATTCTTGAAGAATAAACACTATTGCTCTACTCACTGTGCAGTTTATTCTGCACCAACATGGTGACCGTATCCGTGAGTTTTGATATCTCATTGGCTGCCTGCTCTGCGGTGACCCCGCTTAAGTCCACGCCATTGTACTCCAGTATCTGGTCACCTTTACGTATTCCTGCATGGTCCGAGGGCGATCCAGGCGCCACGTCGTGCACATAGATGCCTACTTTGTTGCCTCCAAACAACTTAATGCCCAGGTTCTTTGACTTGTCCATATGCAGAGTCACATACCTCAAAGCTGGAAAAAAATGTTTAAGCTATGTCATGTACTGGATACCAAGGATAGAATGATTTGTTAGTAGGGAAAAGCATTGAGGTAAGTTAAAATCGAGCACTAATACCGATCGTTTTCACAAGCAGCCTTTATGAATCAGGAATTATCTTACTTGATCGTTGGAACTGTTTATTGTTTTATAAATTTCTAAAGCCCTAGCCTTTGTCGATTTCGACCCCGAGAATATGTACCTTATACAGCCGGAAACGCTTCCTGCTGATCGGTTATCTTCTCCGTCGAAGGATAGAGCTATGGGAACAATCTACTACCCTGGGAGTATGGTTAGTAGTGGGTGAAGTGTTGTGGCTACGTACTCTCTGCCGGAACGGATGTAGGCGGCGGCGGCAAGGCGGGCTTGGGTTCCTCATCGTAGACCGTCGATGTGGCCGAGGCAGTCGTAGTAGTGGTAGTGGCCGCTGACGAGGGCATATCCTGGCTGCTGCTGATATCCGACTGATTCTCCAGGCTGTCGGTGAAGCTCTGGTCTTTGATGGACTGATGCGAAAGCGGAGCTCTCGAACCAGATCTTGTTGAAGGAGCCTGCGGCTGCAATGTCAAAGGGAAGAGCGAATTGCGAGCAGGAGGACGCGGAGAGTTGCGCGGAGTTGGAGAGCCCGAGTGGTTGACGGGAGATTCTGGTTCCAGATTGTGCGCCCCCTCGTATTCCATCGAAGGAAACTCTGCAAGGTGGAACAGGTTTAGTTTAGACATGGACCAAGAAAGGCAGATAACTTACTCTCCGGATTGTACTGCACGAGCATCGTGAAAGAGTCACCGCACTGCCGCAGCACGTTGGCCGCAATCTCCTGTGTGGCCGCCCGCATGTTGATGCCACAAACTTCCAAGAGTTGATCGCCCACTTGGAGACCGGCACGCATCGCTGTGCTTTTATCGGCGACGGTGGACACGAAGATTCCTCCGCCGTTGTTGTTGCACTGAATCGTGATACCGAGCGACTTGTCACGCTTGTCGATGGTGACTCTTCTAAGGTCTCCGGGGCAGAGAAAATCCGCAGGCACATTGGAGTTGCGCTTGCCACTTCCACCGCCGCCGTGGCTAAGGACTTCTACATGGACTTGCGGCATAGGCGATCCTCGCCCACTTCCTCCTCCGCCGCCTCCTCCAACTCCTGATCCAGTTCCATTGCCCCCTGCCATATTTGCACCATAACTATTGTGAATACTAGAACTCATCAGGGAGATGGGTGCGCGATCCGAGGATGATGCCGACATAGACCCTCCAGAAGCTGGCGCCGTGTTCGTGACATAGTGATGGTCAATGCTTCCGGAGCTGTTCTTGACCATGCTGCTGCTCTTGCTAGCCACACTGGGGTTGGATGGAATCCTTAACCGTTGGTTGTCCTTCTTACGTGGAAAGGTTCCACCCTCATAAATTCCACCAGCCACTCCCGAGACTCCTCCTCCAACTCCCATGTATGGATAGGGTCCATGTCCATAATCGAGGTATGGAGCATGTGGATGGGGATGCGGGTTGGTCTGCGCATGGTGGTGCGGATGGTAGTCCAGGTCAGTAGGTATTCCAACGTTGTCGAGCGGTGCAACTGCCGTAGGAAGTTGTTGCAACTGCTGCTGAGGCGGTGGGGAGGGTAGGGTCAGTGGACTGGATCTACGGTTGCCCCTCACTCCTGGACCAAACGTCGGAAAAAGCTGCGTGTGCCTATTTCCCGGGATATGGGTTGACTGAAGAAAGCCTGCGTATCCCCCCCCATGAATACCGGAGCCAATGCTCTCGCTGTCGCTTGGGTACTTGGGCACATGCCTCACCGCCTGCATGGGCACATGGCGTTTGGCGTACACACCGTACTCGCTGGTGGCCGGACTCTTGGCAGACAGAATGGACTCTATGGAGTTCTGTGATTTTAGGGACACCACGTCTGGAGGTTGGCCAACTGGTAACGGATGACTGCCTCTGGGCGGATTAAGCGGCATGAACACGGCATTGGGATTGGATCCAGAACTGTTTTTGGGCAGTGGTGGTGGGTGGAAGACGTCGAAGACCTGTTGCTTACGCACTGGAAACTCGCCAGCCGCCGGACCCGTGACTCCACCCATTGACCCCGATCCTAATGCAAAGCCCGATGATGCCGACGAAGGCATTCATCACCTGCTGCTGCGCCTGTTGACCACTGGTCTTGGGCTGATAAAAATCTCCGCTGGGTGTGATGTTCAGCGATAAACGATTGTTACTGTGCGGCCTGGGTCCATAGCGCTCCTGAGAGGGCATTTTTACCCTCGCATTGGCGCCCATCAGGGGGGCTCTCTGCATCGGCTTTTGGCTAATCTCCTCACCGTAGAGCGAGTGCCTGGGATGGGTGGTATAGCCCTCCAGAGGAACCGGGAGGAAAAAGGGCTGAGACTCCCGAGCTCACCGGATTAGAGTTGCGGTTGGGATGTGCCTTGATGGCGCTCCCGTTGGCCCCTCGTATGTGTGCCAAGGGCTTTGACATTTGTGGGGGCAATGGTGGAGGCAGCTGTTCCTGCATTAGAACTGTCGGCTGCTTCTCCGGCACTCCAATATCGCCCACAATTTCATCATCTTTGTCTACGTTGATTGGACCGGCTGTGAAAAGCGACATCAGGGCATGTTTCTTCTCATTGCCACGCATTGTGCCCGTTGGGTTGTCGTGCGAAATGTTGGTCCGCGGCCAGGTACCCATGCTCTTGGAAGCCTCCTTTTCCTTTTTAGTGCGCTTTTTGCGGTTGAACAAGTTCTCCTTGCTCTTCTCTGAGCTGTTTTCACTAAGCACCGAATCCAGAGCGGCGATTGCGTCGTCGTGCTCCTGTTCAAAGTTATCATCCGGTGTGCCCGTCTTGCTGAACTTAAGCTTTCGAAGGAAGAAGTCAGCGAATCTGGACGGATGTTTGCTGGCACTACTTGCAGCACTTCCTCCCCCTCCACCACCGCTCGACACATGCTGCATGGAGTCAATGGAGTCTGTCTGTGCCGATGAGGTGGTCATGCCTGGAGGTAACTGATCCTGCACGTACTTTAGGGCAAAAAGGTTGAGACCATCGCTCCGAGGATCATTAAGAACCTGCATAACCTCCTCGATAGACTGTACCGAGTCCATCGACTTGTTGTTAATGCTCAGCACTCGGTCACCAACGTCCAGCTCCGGTTCGTAGAAAGCCAGCGAGTTCTGCTCAATCTTTGCGATGAACACTCCCATGTCCAGCTGCAATCCATGAGGGCAATTCCGATCCCTAGTTTTTAGCTGAACAGAATAGGCGTGTCGTTTGCTGTGACGAGTACGGGAAACCAGAAGGACGGAACGGGGTGCACAGGCACGGATCTCGTCTAGAACAATGCGTTTCGACAAGGGATTGACAGTCTAGGTTGTTCACTTTGCAGATGACATCGTTGATTTTGAGCTTTCCACAAGCGGGAGAACTGCTTGTCACGCCACACACCAGCTTTCGCTTGTTGCTGTCATCTAGGATAATGCCCAGATCGGAAGTGTGCTCATAACCAGACAGCTCTATTTCAAGGAGATCTTCACCCTCGTAACTACTCAAACGGAAACTACGCCGAGATCCAGATGCATTGCTATCCAGATTGTGCCGCTCCTGCTGCTCCATTTGCTCCTTCAGCAGGTCAATCTTTTTTTGAGCCTCATCCTTTTGCTTCTTAATCTTCTCACTATCCCGAATGGCCAACAGCGAGTCGGAGATGGCTTTATCTCTTTCGTGGCGCATCTTGTCGCAAAGAGTCTTTACTGAGTCGCGCTCCTGAACGATCTTTTCTCGTTGCGATATAGCCCAATCTCTAACTCGCTTCGCCTCCTCTGCATCCTGGCTGGAGCGCTCAACCTCAGAAAGAGCCTTTTCAAGACTTTTTCGTAACTTCTCCAGTTCCTTGTTGTTCTCCAGTTCTTTTCCGATGGGGAATTCCTTCGACCAGGAGCTTTCACGCGATTTTAAGAGATCGCGCTTCTTGAGGTCACGCGTTGGCGAGCTGCAGTGTCTTTATTTCGCTCATGGCAAGCTGTTCGTCCTTTTTGAGCCGTTCGATCTCCTTGTTGGCCAGAACCAGATCGTCGGACATCTTCTGGTGTTCCTGCAGCACATTGTCTTTCTCTGAAAGAAGTTGATTTAGCTCCTCGGTGAGGGAGACCACGGTTTTTGTTTCTTTGGAGAGCAGAAACCTTCAGCGTCTGGATTTCGTCAGCCCGCTCTCGGTAGTATATGCGATCCTTCTCGAGTTCTATGTAGGACTTTTTGTACTTCTCTCTCTCAACAGCAACCATGTTGCGCTCCTTCTTCAGCTCGGCCAGTTTCTCAATGCAGCTGCCATCGCATACCTGGGATTTCCCAAAATAGTAAGGATTACCACTGCCTCCAGGCGGAACTTGACTGTTCCCATTTTGGGCCTGCTGACTCTGCAGTAGCCGCTTGAGCCTTTCGCTCTCCTCTACTATATCCGTGAACTTGTTGCGATCGGCAACGTAGTGCTCCTGGTAAAGACTCAGTTCGGTGGTCAACTCATCGCATCGCCGCTTGGTGCTCACGTGCTGGTGGCGCAGGTTGGTTAGTTCCAGGATGGCAGACTTGTACTGCGCTTGCAGTATATCGTACTTTGCTCCATTTCCGCCGGACACACCCGACACACCCAATCCGCTATTGACACCCTTCGAGGGCCCATTATTGTTGGCCATGTTGGCAGCCGTGGTGCTGCCACTGGAATTAGATGGTGGTCGAAGGGTGTTATCATAGCCCACATACTCCGAACTCTCTTCTGAAATGAAAAATGTAAGGTTATAGAGGATAATCTTTCGTTGGATATCTCCCAACTCACCCTCCTGACTACTCGTGCTGGTCAGCGAAAGATCTCCCGATGCCATCTTCGCCATCACGGCAGATTTAGGTAATGCTCAACATGAAGATTAAGCTAGAATAGTTATATTAGAAACAAAAGGAATTAATTTTGAAAATATTAAAATTAAATTTTTGCATTTATTATCACGGGTTGTTACCCTACTCCCTAACCTACTTAGCCAATCTGTTTTTCTATACACATTGTAGTCCTATCTATCCAAGAACTACTTCAAATCCTAGCATGATAACAGCCTAGATTTATAGTGCGCTTATTGGAGTTATAATCGAGAAGTAAAGATTAAATACTTGAATGGTATCAATTTAAAATTGCCAAATTGTAAATAATATTTAATATTCAAGCGCAATCGTAACTTGTACCCGTTGATCAGGCTGATAGTGCAGACGTAAGCGTACCAAAAACTAATGCCACTATGCTTATTGGTTAAAAACCAATAGCAATGACTGCATTAATTATCTTTGTCTGAGCCGATACAGTTTCGTTCAAAATACTAGTAATGGCAAAATCAAAAAATTAATCAAATGTTGTGAATTTTTTATAAAATCTATTTTAAATGAAACATTATTTGATTTAATAGTTTTTTTTTTTAATAAATAAAATTTATCAATTTTAAATAAATACACATTCTCAAGACTTTGAATATCCATAACATTTTTTCATTAAATATAACTTGTATTGAAATCATTTTTTAATTTGTTTTTATTCAGCATTTGTTCATTAATTAAAGCCTACTATTATGTTGACCCCTGCTGTATAATAGAAAAACCAAAGCATTGGAAAAACGAAACTTTCACAATTTTTGTGAAACCGCGATTTTCACAATTGAACGAATGAAATTTAAATACAACCGAAGAGTGGGATGGAAAAAGGGGAGGGCGCAGGAGTATGAGCAGAGGGGGAAGGGCGAGTTGCAGGGTAAGTTACTGAGTTTTTTTCATTGTTGTTTTTAGAGCTTTTTTCGAGCGGTTAAATGCTTGCGAAAATGAAATGTGTGGCAATTAAGCACTCGAGTTAGAGCATCGGGACTAAGCCAAAGAATTAATTGAAGCAGCCGAGCAGAAAGCGTAAATTAATAGCAACATGTATGCACACACGCGCACTCCCATACACATACACCAACATACACACTCACCGAAACACCAACACACTCACACTTGCGTGCGGGCAAAACAAGTTGGTCGAATGAAAGAGAAGAAAAGCTGGCAAACGCACAAAGGTGGAAAGCAAAGCGAATTATATAAACGCTTTTCGGATTGGAGTTTCGTTCGGCAGGCACTTATCTTGGCCAACTAGCATGCTTATTGGGCCGAAAAACCAAAAAAAAAAAACATTGCTTATATTCCTTTTGGTCGAAAGTCTTTCACGCACACAAACACACACACATGTTGGCAAGCGCAACAGCTGAATGGGCGAGCGAAAGAGAGGGGGCGAGCGCTCCACCCCAATTCCAGGCCAGCGGGAAAGAGATGCAACAGGCGGACGATGAACGGGACAGGCGACTTTTACCGTTTTCGCTCGCGCATCCGGATTCCGTCCGGAAGTTCCGTTCCACAATAACGCGGGCAAAAAGATTAAACTCTACGGCGCTCGGCGCACAAACTGTTTTCCAAGGACGACCGTTCAAAGCGATGACGAATGACCAACGAAAAAGAAATAAAATTAAAAAAAAACAACACAACTTCACGAAAACGTCACTTTTCCGCTAGTGCTGGACTATTGGTCGATGACTATTGGACTGTATCGATGTTTCCAATAGGTTGGCAATGCTTCATATCGATTTATTATATTTGTGGAGAATGGCAACGCTGAAAGTGAGTGAATTCGGTAAATGTGGGGTGAGACTCCGCTAAGTGAAGAACTATACCAGTGAAAACTCTTATACGATTTATTTGAACAGCTGCATTCTCTAACCGAAAACATAAAATTTTATTTTTAACCTTTTTATTAGAAAAAAAACATATTTCCTTGCGAGTTTTCAATCAAATATGATATCATTACACAATATTTAATTCTTTCTTGTTTGCTGTTCTTGTTTTCTTTGTAGTTTTACATATTTTACATCGTGCCGTATTGCACGTGTTCAACGCACTTCGAGAAATGGTCAGGACAAAAACATCCAAATTGGTAGACGTTAAGAAAGGTACTTCTGATCAGGCCTTAAAGTCTCTGAAGAAATCGGTCCGATTGCAGGAAAAGAATGTTTCAAAGGTCGTTAAAGATGTGGCCAAAAAGCTGGAGCTTATTTCAGATCCAAGTATTTTGCATTACACTAAGTCGCTAGGCAGCTTATCCACAGCTAGTAGTAAGGATTCCGACGATGTTAGTCCTTCGGCCGTTCTCAGTGGCTGGACTACCCCCGGACCTATTGCCCCCCCACTGCGCAAAACCCGTTCCAGTAAGTCGCCGAAATCTGTAATGGGAAAGCTAAGGTTAGGAGCTCGCGTTTGTCGAATGTTTCATTAGTTCCAAGGATAGCGAAGCCATTTCGTTTATATAAAATCAAAAGACCGGAATCGAGCGAAACGGTTGAAGTAATACACTTCAATAGTAATCTGCTATTGAGCAGTTCCACGGAAACTGACCATGATGAATATGACCAAGCGGAAGAGGATATTCTTCCTCGAATTGAAGACGAGAAGACTGACCCTTTGGCTGATCTAACTAGCTTACGAGAAAGCCAGTTGGGCTTATCCTCTGACTCGGACATCAGGATGCGCTATGAGCTACTCCACCAGCTCAGGGACATACCCAGTTGTGACGAACTAAGTGCCACCGCGACCCCGGATAGTTTTTTGAAGATTGAGAAAAAAGAGCTAAAGAAGGAAGATGAGAACCTGGACATCGGAAAGTTTAAGGATCCATTGGGTCGTCATTCCATGTCCACCGTCGAGGACGACGATGTGCCAACCGAGCTCTATAATGAAGATTTATCTCAAAATCTCGAACCTGCTGTGAGAAGTCTGCATGACATCTCTAGTTCAGAGTTGGAGTCGGATGACGACAGTCTATGGGAGTTGAAAGCAAAGCTAGACAACCCCAGTCCCATACCAATATTCATTCAGAATCCATCCGGTTTCCGGACTTCCGAATCCTCTCTGCCTCGTGTCCATGACGCTTTCTCCATAGCGCAAGTTGTCCAGGGCTATCTAATTGGAATTATTGATAAAGTCGTAGATAAGCTTGAGAAAAGGGATATTTTGAGGGCAAATAAACTGGACAAAAATAAGCTTTTGGATCGACTTATCCAGGAAGTCGACGATAATAACTCGGAGAGGTACACGAATGAATATCTAACAAAACGCATAACTGACTACTACCTTCGCCGCTACAAGTATTCCCTGGTAACGCCGAGCACCAGTTCCTCAATCCAAGAGTCCAATCGAAGGCGATACTATAGTGCCCTGAACGAGTTGGATAACTGGCTGAAACAGGAACAGAATGCTGAGGAACTTCTTGTGGCGGAGAAGGGACGTTTGCTTGGAGAACTGGAGCAGATGCAAGCGAAGGACATTGAGAAAGTCGAGGGGATGGAGAATCTATTTAGGAAAACCCTTCTCGGCCGAAATCAAAACACAGATCGACTTAAATTTGTAAGTTAAGACTCTTGGATGCATTATTACTTTTTATAACTTTTATTTTAGGTAGTTGAAGCTATCTTACGGCAAATGAGAAGAAAGCGCGATCTTATGTCCGAGACACGCTTTGATTTAATCATTAAACAGCACAACACAGCTTACGTTAAACAGGTTAGTCAAAGTTATTAATAAAATGTTTTAGATATCTGAAAAAGTACTTTTCCAGAAACTTGATGAAACCGAGACCATTTCTGGGGAAGTCAAAATGAATACGTATCTGTCTATGGAAACTATTGTTCAGCAGCTAGCCAATACTCTAAATAGTAAATATGTTTAAAGAAAATTATTAAACTTAAGCTATAAAACTCTTTCCTTACAGATAGAAACGTTGACCTGCTGAGAATGTATTCCCTGGTCAAGAAAAAGATCCACACCATTTCGCATCTGAGGTGTCGGCGAAAATTGCTGAATCGAAAATTTCGGGTGGCCAAAGAGGAGCTGCTGGTGAAGCAGAAGAGACATTCGGAGTTGCGGGATAAAGTATATGCCAATAATCTAACACACAATAAACTTCTGGCCAAAATCAAGGAAGCCCGTCGAAGAGGTGGCATCATGTGCTATCCCAAATTGCTAGCCGACTACGATCATACAGTAAACTTCATTCAAATGAAGAAAAGTTGTGTACAAGAGCTGAAGGCAAGGCATGACAATCTACTCAGGAAAATCGACAAAATTGAATACAGGATTCATGATATAAGCTATGCATCCTTTTCTAAATGAAATTTGCATGCCTGAAAATAAAAATGTCGGAAATATCTAGATAAAGGGCGATATGATCGTATCTTATTAAGAACCCTAAAAATGACTAGTAAGTTATGTCAAACTTTCTCAAAAATAATCAAACAATATTTGGCTACTTAAAATTCAGTTTTAACTTTCGATCCAATGGCTTCCTTTATTATCCGATTGGCTTTGGTGGCTGGTGCGGTCTATGGCACCAAAGAGCTGGGAATTTGGAAGAGTGCCGACTACACACAGGACCTATATGAAGATGCTAAGCGGGAGGTGGGTCCCCCCACCGAAGACCTAATGAGCAGATTCTGCTGCTGGCGGTGTGAGAATTGCGACCCGGATGTGGAGGTGAAGCCCTGGCAGGAGTCGATGGTGGATGCCTGGAACGAGGCGGTCAAAAAGACCTTCAACGCACTGAATGTCCAGGTACCCCTCTATTACAACCGCTTCTCGAACGACCTCCAGCAAAGCATAGACGACTTGGTCCACACCGATCAAGAAGTGGTTATTGCTCCAAAAGGTGGAACAAACAAATAGTACTACCAAAGATCAAAATTATTTTTGTAGAAAAGAGGAAGTCTCTGAAATTGAAAAATGGAAAAACTAATCAATTACAGCTTTCAAAACATTATTATTTTGTTTAAGCTCGTGGCTTTTTTTGGGCCGGTGGAATGCATCCTGGAGGCCCAGCACTGGAATTCCCAGCTAAGCCTGGTACAGACATCATTACAGATCTTCCGTTAGCAGTCCCAGGAGTCAAAGAGCCCATGGGACGTGGATTAGCAATACGATTCGGAATCGAAGGTCCTAAAAATGAAGTCGAATTAACACTTAAGATGTTAGTGCCCGGAACCGCAGTTGCCACCGGGTTTAGGGGCAGTCCAACTCTCGGATTTGGTTGGGTTGGCTCAGAGCCCTTGGACTTCAGTTCGGCCATCGTTCCCAGCTGACATTGGCGCCATGTGGGCAGCAGTAGACCCCGGTTTCCAGACGGCATAGGCAGAGTTGTCTGACATGGGACCCGGGATTTCAACGGCTGCTGGCAGGGTCTCCTTCGAAGTTCTTCGGTCCGCTCCATATTAGCCATTTCCAGATCCTCGACACTCACGTTCGTGCGGTTCGCCAAGATGGCAAAGCGTTGAGCCTCGAGGAGCTTGTCCCTAGCCAGAGCTACACAAGCCACTTGTAAACTATTTCTTCATTTTATTTCTTAAACTTACTGTAAGCCAGATCTAGGATAACACCACGAGCTTGTGGCTCCGCTTCCAGTCGAAGGTCCTTCAGCAAACTATCCACGAACTCCAGATCGGAGCTGATATCCAAGTCGCGTTCGCAGAGCTTGTAATTCGGTTTCCTTTCCATCGCTTAAGGGTTTCTATTTTAAGGCTTCTTAAGTATTAATTGATTGACAGCAAAAATGTCATGGTTTCCATAGGCTAACTTAATGACAGTACGATTAGTTTAGGGTTGCCAGGTTAGCTGGCAGCAACTTAGGATTTGGTTAAAAATATAATTTTTTATTTAATAATAATGTCCTATAACTAATTATAACACGTAAGGAAACTACAAATATTAATGACCATGTAAAGAAGATATTTGAAGGAAGATATTTAACAAGTTGAAGGTCAGTTTATATAAGTATTCAACCTTCAAATAATTAAACCAAATTAATTCTAAGTTGTTTAGAATAAATGGGAGTATAAATATAAAACAGCGGGAACTAGGAATATGGACCCATGCAGGAGTGTGTGAAAATGGGTGGCTCCATTGCACAAATACTTTATGTCAGTGCCGCAGATAAACTTTTCCGTGGATTCGTCGGAGCTATAGCTAGATCTGGCGTATGAACTTCCATAACTAGAGCTTGGCCAGGGCCTGTAACGTGGCTTCTTGGGAGGAGTGTAGGAGGGTATATTATAGGATGGTCGTGAGTTCGATGAAGAGCGTGAAGAGAACCATCCACTGGAACTAGAGCTGGAACGGGAGCTGGAACCGAAGCTTGACCTGGAATTACTGCTACTTCGACTGCTGCTACTGGACTTTCCCAATGCATCCCTCATATTCAGAGCCAATAGCATCACCACGATCAGCAGGATGCCATTGAGCCGCCAGTGGAATTGGTACATACTGAAAGTGAGACAACTCTTAGTTACTCACTTTACTTCGTTGTAAATTTAATAAACTTTAGATAACCCACATAAATTATAAAACAATGCTAAGCTAATCAAAAGAGTCGGTTGTGCGTAATCAATAATCAAATGTTTTTAATTGGAATAAAAAAAATGGAGCAGAGAATGCTTTTTTTTGATAATATTTTAACATTAATAATTCTCGGAAGTAATCTTTTTTTCTATTATCCTTGAAAATTTTTTCTGTTATTATTTGAATAAAGCCTAAAGGAGCCATTACCTGATTAGTAAGAACTTTTGTTTCGGAAGTCGTAAAAATTGTTTTCAAAATAATATTATTTACTTTAATCTACTTGATGTTCTTTTGTGCACGATTTTTGATTATGTTTCGAGGAAGTATTTCGAAGAACTGTGCTATGCCAAAAATTCGTTTGCCTTTTTATACTATCTGGCTTGAGATTAGCAGAGCAGCGTCTGCGAGATAGGAACCAACATGCGGAAGGTCATCATAATGATCTAAGGTCTTCACAGGCTTAAATTGATAATTTTTTTGACGTACAAAGCTTATATTTAATGATTTTTAAACAAACTTAGTCAAAGAGGTATTGGTTTACTCTTAGGAAAATATATATCATTTAATTGCTGTGTACATATATGTAAATATTTCCCTCTCCTTAAAGGCATATTTTTTTCTCTTTAACTCCTGATCATAGTAGTTTTCTTGTTACTAACGGAGGGCTGCTACCAGAGTCATCACTAATACCATAGAAAGAAAGCCAAAGTGTCCAAGTGAAAGTTTTGAGCCGGTAGAAGTTGAATAGCAGAAGGTCTTGTCCATCACACAAATAATAGTACCAGTACGAGATTTATTAGATTGAGCTTTTCTTCTTGGTGAGGAAGTTGAAGTTGAAGTTGATAGCACTGGCCGTGGGGAGGAAACTGTTGTTTGGGTTGCTTTCGTTCGAACAGGACTGCTGGGCACTTTTTGGGGTGATCCATTGTTGATAATAATGACATTGGGCTTGCGATCATCGTTATTGTTATGCTTCACAATGGCCTTACCCACTCCAACAACGAGTTTGTTGACTGTAAATAAAGGGAAGAAAATTACAATCATTGCAGTTTTCCAAAAGATTTTTAAAATTCTAATTTCTTTAGAAACGTAAAAACCTACTAAAGCTTTTCGAGGACCTATTTGCAACCGGGGTATTAGCTCCAGGTAGAAATATTCCTTCAGGCATAGGGTTGACAGTTGCAGTTACGTGGGATTGCTGATGGGGATAGTTTGAAGGCCCATTGTGGGCATGGAAAATGGGCAGAGATCCACTGGTAGTTCCTGACGTAGGGGTTTGATTCTGGTGATTGGTTTTGCCATGCATTTGGGTGGCTGGGACATTCCAACCAATTGGTAAGGTGGGAGCTGAGGGATTTTTTTTGTTCGTCTGGGAACGGCTGACCTCGATTGCTTTCGATTGGCCTTTATCAGTTTTTTTTTTAAGGTGATGTGTAGAGGTCTTGGATTGCGAGCCAGGTCTCGGTGAACGGCGTGTTGATGAGCAGCTGCGAGAGGAACTGGACCTACAGCGACTTTTACCGAGTGTAAATTTAGCATCCACATCTTCGGCGACTAGGGTCAAAACTAAAAACACCACCGCCAATAGCGCGGCATTGTGCCGTTTTTGACAAAAATACATCCTGAAATTGGTCAAACCCGGTTCTTTTTGTTTCTAAAAAAACTTTGTGGCGACTAAAAATTCCAACTGTTCTCGTTCGACGTCCGATTGAAAGTGCAACTGGGAGCATTCAAAAGTCTTTAAGAAATTTTGGGCATTTCAGAAAACAGTCGTTATCAGTCAGCCATTACAAATATAGCTTATCTTTAGTAATTTGAGAAAGTCGAATTACAATAATGTAATAATATGAATAATATTTGGATTACATATTAGGTTAAATTCCAATTAACGCAGTTATTTGTTTTTAATAACATACTTTTTTATTCTGTCGTTATTCAAACTTTTAAGGAGATGTTACTAAAACCATAAAAGTCTCACCATCATATTTGTTTGGATTTCAGAAATTTCCAAAACAAACGGACGTCAAAAAATATTGAAGACTGATAAGAGCCATGTGACTCATGACAAATGTCTTAGAATTTGTAGTGTTTTTGGGGGTTTTTTTTTAATGAATTTCAACATTTGGCACTGATAAACAAAACTAAGACACTACACACATGCCTAGACTGAATAAAAATAATTCAAAAATTTGATTAGAAGAAAAGAAAAGTAAAGATGTTTAATGTCAACCAATTTTGATTAAAATAATATTCTACATTTCTTTCACAATGTTCTGCATACAAGTAAACAAATAAGTGAGTCATTCTCAGACAACCGTTTGGAGAATATAAACAAAAAATTAATATTTTTATTGATTTGGCGTGATAAACTTTTGTCCTATGATATATGGCAATTATTGGTCAATTTTTCTGGGTATTTTTAGATTTTTTAACCCGTTACTCGTAGCGTAAAAGGGTTGCATGACTTATTTATTGTCCCCAAAACTAATCCAAAAACTAGTTGAACAAAATATTACATTTTCTCATTAATGATTTCAAAAACCATTTAAGAAGATGCAAAGTTTAATTAAGCATGAAGATTCTTGGGGTCCCGGGACAGAATTTATTACAGCATCCTGCCAGTTGACTCTAACGTTTCCCTTCCCAAAACACATAAAATCTAAAATTACTGCAAATTTTTGGAACTATTGAGTTAACCAGTATTAAATTCAGAAAGTATACTTTTGTTGCCGTCTATTTTAATCGTTTGGTCCCCAAAGATTTATTGGTTGTCTATAAAAGCTATATCTCGGAGCATAAAGATAGAAAGTTCGCAATAACAAAGTGCTGCTGATACAAATCGAATTGTGGTAGCCCTCGAAATGAAAAACTGAAAATGCAAAAATCTCAAAACTATGAGAGCTACAAATGGCTTCGGAACACGTATTTAAACGTCATGCAACTTGCCACAAAGGTTCAAAACCGGCCCGTTACGCCCATGATTCGCAAAAATGCGCCTCTGGTAATATCAGAAACAAAGCCTCGTAGAACTTGTATTACTTATTTCTGTCCCTATCTATCGATTTACGGAACAGATTTTCAAATAGGAACACTCGAGTTCGGTTTATAAACGAAATCAGTCTCACAGGCTCACACGGCAGTGACCACCTAGCCTCCTCGGACTTCTTACAGCAAAATAATATTATAAGACTTCTAAAAACGTAAGGTATCTTATAGTCGCAGCACGATCTCTGGTTACAAACTGAGGAATTGCATGATTTCTCTATTGTCCCCAAAACAATCCAAATAAGAACATTAGCATTTTTTGTAGCTCTTATTTCGAGATCTTTGCATTTTCAGTTATTCTAGTTGATAAAAATTTGTTATATTTCCTTCCTGTTATCGGGTATAAAAATAACAAAATATTACTTCTCATTAATTATTTCAAAAATTTAAGTAAGTACTCAACGTATTATAACCAGTTATTAGTTGTCTGAGTTGACGTATTAATCCTCACAAAATGTATTAAAGTTTAAAAGTTATGCAAATTTTTTCCCTTTTCGCCCCAGTATTAAAACATCATATTTTATTACCGTATTTTAATCGTTTGGTAGATTTATTGTTGGCGTACTTTGAGGACTAACAGAACTACGAGTATATTTTAAAAATTCGATTGTTTTTACAAAGTATATAAAGAGTACCCCTTGGTCGGGGTTAGACATATAAATCGACTTGAATCTCGTGTCCCTCAGAATGGCAATAAATTAGGTAAAGCTTTCCGGTTGCCAATGACACTGCGTCATTGAGTGATGAAAGGGTTGGGTGGCGATGGGACTTAGTGCAGACAGTAGGCCACGAGCAGGGTCACCACCGTGGAGATGAGGCTAAAGTGTCCAAAGGTCCGTTCGGCCATACTGTGTGCATCCCTGAGACCCGATTCCACCGACAGTCGAGCCTGTGTCAGACCAGGCATCTTCATGATATCCGGCTGGCCGCCAGGAATGATGGGAGCCAACGGAACAGATCCTTCGGGAATGGTCACGGGAGTGGTGGCCTCGAAGGGAGCCAATTGTACAGTTCCGGGAGCGGAAACGGGAGGAGGCACAGGACCCTCGACGGCTGGTGCCGTTCCATTGGCTGGAGGAGCAACTTCTGGTGGTGGTGCAGGATAGCAGGCTATCTGATCCAGTTCAATCGTCTTGGTTGGATCTTTCGGGTCTGGTCCAGGAATTTTCACGGGCACACAAATGATGTTACCAGCAGGTGGTGCGTTGGGATCAGCTGGGGCTCCAGGTGCAGGAGGAACTGGGGCATTGGGATCTGCAGGATTAGGAGCAGCTTGAACTCCAGTAGCAACGGGAGTCCCAGGAGCAGGAGCAGGAGCCGATGGATCAGCTGGAGTTGGTGGCAAAGGAGCCAAAGGAGCCAATGGAGCTGCACCTGAAACTGGCGGGGTAGGTGGCACAGGAAGAGATTGAGGGACAGACGCCGGTGGAGCTGCATAGGCCGGAGGAATTGGCAGAGAGGGAGAAGCGGCGGCTTGGTTTCCACCAGCATTTATCACTGTTGTGCCCGATCCCACATCAGTGGTGGTCACAGATCCGGGAGGTCCGTTGTTGATAATGATGATCTTGTCATCGCCACCCTGGCTGCCACCACCTCCACCGCCGCCGCCGTAAGAATTGGAATGTTCCACGACACGGGTGTGGGTCGGAGTAAGGGCGTGACCCAGGATGGCACCACCCAAGGCTCCAGCAATAAGTCCAGTGCCTGTGCAAAAGGAACACAAGTTAGTAAGGAGATAAACGATAATGTCCATTATCCCACTTTCCAAGGGAGTGTGAAATGCCGTGTTAAACTCACCCAATCCCAAGCCTGAGGATGACTTTTGCGGCGCTTGTGGATAGTAAACAGCTCCGGCAGGCAGAGCTCCTCCAGCTGGCAGGAACGTGGCTCCTGGAGGCAAACCTCCACCAACAGGTGCCTGTGGATAGTACGTGGCTCCATGCGGCACTTGTCCGACTGGATGGTACGTCGCTCCGGCCGGATAACCGCCGGAAGGATGGTAGGTGGCCCCGGCTGGAATCTGACCCGTTGGGTAGTATGTCGCTCCGTGAGGCACCTGACCTGCTGGGTGGTAGGAGGCTCCCGCTGGCAACTGACCCGCCGGATGATAAGTGGCTCCGGCAGGAATTTGTCCGGCCGGGTGGTAGGTGGCACCTGCTGGCAACTGCTGACGGGGATAGCTCGACTGCACATTGTGGGCATTGGTGGCCGTAATGGGCTGATATCCTCCGGAGGAACCATATCCACCCGTGGAGTTATTTCGACCTCTATACCCAGTGTTGTGGGTTCCGCCGTAGTAGTGGGAACCTGAACTTGAACTGGAAACGGAACTGGCACCTCCTGCCGGACGGGATGGGCTCTGCAGATTGGTGTTGCTGTGCGTTTGGGTGGCGGCCGAATAGCTGGGTGGTGCTGGCTTGTAAGCCGGATTGTAGGCCGGTGGACGCTCGTTTATGTTGGTGTGTGCACCACCAACGGGATTCGAGGCGGAGTACGCCGGCGGTGGTCCTTGGGGCTTCGCTGGTACATTCCAGCCAATTGGCGAAGCGGGGGCCGATGGAGCCGCACTGTGCGTCTGAGAGCTGCTCACCTTGCTTGGCTGTGAGTGGGTTCCACCTCCGTAGCTCAGCTTGACATTATCAGCGTGGGGCGCAGGAGCCGGGCGGTGCGCAGGTGCCGAGTGGTGCGCAGGAGCCGAGTAATGTGATGGAGATGAATGGGATGAGGGTGAGTACGAAGTCCTTCTGCCTGAACCAGAAGAAGAAGTGCGGCGACTACCTCCGCTGGACTTCCACTTGGCTTGAACATCCTCGGTGGTTAGGGCCAATATTAGGAGCACCACCACCAAATGGCTACCATTGAGCCGGTTGGGGTAAAGGGACATTCTGAAAGTAGATACGGTTTTGAATTTAAGAGTTAAATATCTTGATAGACATGACATCTAAGGATCACACTATAAATGAAATAAACACTAGTCTCAATCTGCTTTATGGGTACTAAATATTATTTTTAGGGTATTAAGTCCCTCGACTACTGCAGACAACCTCTTAGTTTGTATTTGTGTCATTCCCTACTGAACCCTGATTTTAGTCCCCATTGTCAGTCATCATCAACCAGCATGTTTTCATTTTCATGTTTGTGTAAAAAACAATTTATTCAATTTATGCAAATAAAAAACACAAATTATGGCAAGCCAACTGAAACTTAGTTTCCCCCGATGGCTTTTCTAGGCTGCTAGCATTTCGAGTGTTATGATTGAACTTCTTAATTAGATTGCATCTTTGTAAGTAAAGTTATTGAAGAGCGAAGGGAAGTCACGCCCTGATTGCCCAAGCTGCCAGGAGGTTTAGAGTGCTCCGCCCCCTTTTTATTTGACCAAATTAGAAGCGCGTTATGCGTGTCTTGGGCGGTCTCTTAATGATAATTAACTTGCTGATTTGGCCGGCTTGTCGCGTGGCTGCACTCCATTGACTTTTGCCTTCAGCTCCCAAACACACCCAGTCTGGCTTAGTTCTAGAACTACATATAAACACAGAAATTTAAAGGTCAGGGGTTACGAGGCTAACGGATGTTTTCTTTATTACCTCAAAAGGTTAAAGAAAACTTTGCAAAAATTAGCCGAAAATTAAAAGTGCCGTGAATGTTGTGATTAAGGACAACAATAAAAAGGTGGCTCTGGATTTAGGAAAATATTTTGATTTACAACCGCAAAAAAAACTCAATTTGAAAGGAAATTCTTGGAAAAAGTATTATAAAAACAAGTTCACTAGAATTTTTCTCATGTAAGCACGAGATTGACATCATTTTATATAAACAAACAGCTTCATCTGCAATTTATCGTTTGAACTGACAAATGCAATTGCTGAAAACTGCGAGCGATGCTAAAAACGTGTTTGACTCGTTCGGTGAGTCATGGAACCGTTGGACTGCAACGCATGCGCAGCTATGACGTCAATGGGGAAATGGAAATAGCTCAACACGAACTGGCTTACCTCATCTTTGTTTACTGTCTCCCACTGTTTCTTGGTTTCCATGAATTACCCGAGAGTCTGAGCTGGGGCTTATAATCTCTGAGAGATTCGGCCTAGAAATCGTTTTCTTATCGCTAGGGTCAAATGCCAAAGTGATTAAAGATTAGCACGGGTTCGACGACAGAATTTTAGTATTGAAATCTTCAAAAAAAAAAAGCCAATATTACTCATTAAAAGATCATAGGCTTATCGCAAAGTTCGTGTGAGAAGGTAAATCGTTTTGAGATTATTTTGCATATCAAGAGAAGCAGTTCAATAGAAATGAGTTTTTCAATAATAAGTGAATCACTTATTTACTGAGCCTTCGAGGGAGCTTTGTTTGCCCAAGTCTTACATAATATATGAAAGAAATTGGAAGACCCAAAGACAAAAGATATAAAAATAAAAGTTAATTGGGCGTCAAAAGCCGGTTAGTTATGTATGTTTTCGAGTGGGTGACTCTTGAAAATCATTTTGGCACTAATGGTTATTTGGCCAGCTGGGCTCAAAACGAAGGTTTTTTATGTAAAGTTGTATTTGCCAATAGATCTAATGAGATGTGGCAGCTGTTTCTATAGGGCAAACATTATGGAAATGATCTAAAACTGCTCCAAAAGTGTCTTATTATTTATTTAAAACTTTCTTCTTTTCATAAAGTGACAGTAACTGGTTTAAGTGACTAATATAATTTACTGGGTTTTTATACTACGCCATCCATTCTATTTTTATATGTTACACTTCACTGAACCTATTCTAATTCCTGGCTTGGGCAGGTTTTCCCTTCTGAACTGCATATTCGTTCACTGCGATAGCTAAGTGGATTTTCCAACATTCAAGCAACCTGTTGAGTGCCCAAAACAAAATCATCTTGTGAATGAAAATAAAGTCTGAATATATTCAAACTTGTCTAACATATCTGCTGACATATTCGTATATGAAATAATTTAAAAACATTTTAGGAGGAGAGAGTCCAGAACACCAAATTGATTTCGATTGGGAATAGTCTTTTGATACTTCTGGCTCGAGTTAAATTTGAACGCAATTTCATATACAATGTGTTTTCCTTTTGTTTTGAAGTGACCTTCAAGTCGGGCAAGCATTGCAAAAAGAAATAAACAAACAGCAGCCATCGCATTAAGTGCTTAAATTAATGAAATTGCTGTACGGACCTTACACACCAATTCAAAACAAGTTATTTTGCGAACTCAAATTACGAATTTTTTACATCAACCACTCACAAAAATGTTTGATTAAAAAATGTAATAAAATTTAATTTATTAGATATTTACTTTGGTTTTCTGTATATTCCGCTTGCTGTTTCTGCCGCGTGCGATTTTCGCCTTTGTTTCGGGCAAAGTTTCTCGAACAACTGAACTGCGGCAGCAAATCGCCCGCGTTTTGTTTTTTCTTCAGAGCGGTTTGCGGCGAGCAAAGCAGTGGCAGAGCAGAGACCGCGCGAGCAAAACCAGCAGTGACAGCGGTCAGTACACTGCAAGAAAGAATTGGAAGATTGGGTTTAAATAATAAAGTCAACATCGCATTGTTATATTGTTAGCATAATGTAGAGAGCAGGTAAAAATACTTTACATTTTTTGTTCTACTTATAGATTGTTTTTTTTCAGTGCAGTCACTCACTGGTCTCCAACATTTTCTCTTTAAATTTGACATTTCTGACGTTGCTTTCTGGTCTCTTGGGCGGTTTGTTTTGAATATTTAATTTTAGCATTTCTGCGAGCGTCTCCATGGGGAATGTCTTATATCATTCATCATCTTTTATCTTTGTGTTGTTATAGAATCATTCACGCTTGGATTAAGAGGGCTTGTGATTAGGATAAGCGCAAGATAATGAAATGAAAACGAAACAATAAATGAAATAATAATAAACTCAACAAAAGTTATAAACACTACTTTCAAATATTTATTTTTTAATTTAGCTTAAATAGTATCACTGTGTGAATGATATGTTATAGGCCAGCAACCCAAGCTTATGACTGACAAAACCGTTCGGCACTCTCTCTTCCCATTCAGCCACCCTCTCTCTTAATTTACTTGATAGTCCGACTTTGTTTTTGTATCATGTAAGGCTGTTTTTTCATTTTATTTTAGGTGTTGGTGGATTTAATGAGCGCCAAGTGAGCTTCATTGCTCTTGTTGTTTGGGTATTTTCTGCTCGTGTCGCTTTGTTTTTAACGTAGATTATACCCATTACTAGTTGTCTGGGAGGGTATATTAATTTTATGATAACTATAGAAGAAAAAAATATAGTATTTACTCTATAAATAACCTTATTTTTGACGTCTAAGTTTATTGCTCTCTTTTTAAGCCACCATGCTGATCAAGACATTTTTTTTACCTTTTAAAAAAAAAAATTTATCGCCAATATTTTTTAAAACTTTTCTATTTTGGAAGAAAAAATATAAGAATTTAGTGTTCAAAAAGAACACTAATTGTTATAAATTTAAGATTTTACGAGCTCTCTTCATGTCAATATGTAAATCTATCAAGAGCCGTAAATAATGATCTGTAACATAAAACCTACAAGGGTGCAGCGCCGAACAGTTGTAATCTTAAGTACAGGTCACTTGAGCCTGACAATAAATATAGTTCTCATGCTGTACAAAGAGTCGCCTTGCAGAGGACCGTTGATAAGGATCCCGCTCAGGCAAACAGATGTGGTCACTGCGTAGACCATAGATAAGTATATTATAAGAATTTCATGTTAGCTACGTAAGCGAAGACTTAGAAAAATAAAATCAGTTTTTATACAGAACTCAACGGTGAAAGTTCTTTTCCTGGTTATAGGATTCCTTTCACTTAGTTTTTTAAATATGTTTATTACTTTAAGAATTGCGTTTTATTTATTTGCATTTTATAGATTTCGTTTTCACATTTGTATTATATTTATAGCTGGACAGGTCGTTTAACAAATGTCAATATTGTGGTGAAGCGCGGAGGACTCTCTGAAGTAAGTTCTATTCCTGGTATTTTTTTGCGTGCGAATGGCATGTAAATATTAAAGTGGCGGGTAGGTTTTTGAATGACGTTTTTCGTTTAATAAAGGCTAATTTTACTATATTATTTCCATTCTTTAAATTTTAAATTTAATTTTAAAATTTAAAACATCAATCAAATAAAAAATGCAAGTTGCAAATAAATTATTAATATTTATTTAGCTTTGTCTTACTTAGGTTCTATCCGACGAGTACTTAAATGGAATCCATTTCGAAATTTGTGGCCTTCGGAGCTACAAAGTTGGCCACCTCAATGCTGACCTCGTCACCTCCACCTCCCTCTGAACCAACCTCTTCACCACCTACAATATCGCCGGCAACAATGGGTGGCTCAGTGGTTATGATGGGTTGGAAGTTGTCTGGAGTGTTGGGCGGAGCTGGAAAGCAAACTACTCGCTCCACTTCACGCATCACCTCTAAATTTTCGGGGTCTGTCTCGTTTAGCATGATGGGAAAGCAAATTATGCCACCATCTGGATAGGGTTGAGGAGTCGCCTCGAATTCTGGGGATTCTTCGCTTGAAGCAGGTTCACTTTCACCCTCGCCTTCTCCCCTGGCCCTCCTCTTCCTCCTCGTCCTCTGGAAGAGGATTTTCGGGAGGAACTACGTCAGAGGCTTCCCCAGAAATGGTGGTTTCATTCTGCAACCCTCCCTCCTGCTGACCGTTATTGACGATGATGATCTGGCGGCCATTTCCCTGGGCAGGCGACTGCCCCTCCTCTCGATTTCTGTGGAACGAATGGTGTCGGTGGCCAAACATCAGGTTGTTCATCATGTGACCCGCCAGCATTCCAGTAAGGAAATCACCCGTTCCTGAGTGGTTTAGAAAATGGAAAGAAAAAAGTAGAAATTATCGAGATAGTTTGGTTCGTATTTTTACAGAGCGGCGGAATAACCTGCTGAATCTGAATTACTAAAAGTTAAGCTAGATGGGATTTATTTTTCATCAGACACTTACCCAGTCCGCGATTCATTCCCACAGGTGGTTGAGCGTAGTAAACTGCTCCCGCTGGCAAAGCCTGAGCATTGGCGTAGTAGGTGCCACTCCCTTGTCCCGGATACGACCCATATCCGTAACTCGGGGGCATTTGCTGTCGCGGATAGCTGGGGATCTGTTGCTTGGACGGCATCATCGGTTTTGGTGGTGCCGGTGGCGGCGGCGGGGGTTTCGGCACTGTCATTGCCGTGTGAACCGGCGATCCGCTCACCACCCGCCTTCCACCTCCAGATGACGAGGGCTTCTTATACTTGCGCCAACCACCAAAGAGTCCGCCGAATGAACCGCCACCACGACCCCTTCCGCCACGAGCTTCAGTGGGCTGGAATGTGGATGCTGCGAGCAGCAGCAAGCTGAGTGCCAAGTACCAGGATCTCATCTTGATCGCGACGTTTCTGAATAGATCTTAACTGATCGAGTGGAACGGACGAACTGTAGGCAGGCGGTCCATTTGCAACGTGTTTATCCGCGGGAAGTGGCAAATGCGTGGAGCGATGCGCTACGATTCGGAGGAAGGGCATATTAAGATGTTTAAGAAACATTATTTTCCTTTTAAGATATTTTAGTAAATGATTTTATGCATTTTAAAAGAAAATCGCATGGCTCATATCTATTACAATACATGAAATAATAATCAGTCTTCGAATATCTTTGGACTTATTAAAAGCCTTAAATCTCGGGAGGGGGTTCCTACGTGTCCTCGATTTAGCCGTAGCCATACTCACGTCGCACTCGTCTAACAGAAGCCTGACAACACTTGCCCGTGGACATGTTCCCCTATCACTGAAAATTGAATGAGTGTCGCCGTGTAATAATTCAATTGCCACTAATTGAGACGAGCTCGTATTTTCTCTTGAAGCCCAAAAAAGCTAAAAATCATGTTCTCGGGCGATGTTGATGCCTCTGCAGTTTCTGGAACGACGGCAATTTGCCAAATGTGTCGCATCAAGTTTCATTATGGCGGGAATTCGAATCTTTAGCCGCTGGGATTTGGGCACTCATATATAAGATCAGGCGTACTTGGGGCTCGTCACGTTGACGATGATGACGACGATCGCTCATGAACCTTATGCTGACCCATTTCAAAGGCATTGCATTTGCATCTGTACCTTGAGGCCACTGAAATCTATCATGTAAATATGTGTGTGAAAACTATCAAACTAACCTCATAATATATATGTTGAGTTTAAAGATATTTAAGAAAAAACGTAGCCATCGTTGCATGCTTTTTCATTTCGAATAAGAATTTTTAAATAGTTAATATAATCTTTTGATTATGTCTTTCGCGGATCTCTCAGCAGTGGCAAGTACCAAAGAGGTTACAGATTTTAAGTGACTTATAAGCCTTCTTTCCAGCAACGCTGTTCCTTGCCAAAGGAAACGTTTCGATGGGCCAATCTGACTTGTGATCTTGCAAGGAGTACCAGCAGTTGTGGAACATTTGTCTATCTTATAAATTACTTAACATATTTTTTCTGCTTCTATAAACTACCACACATATCAATATTCGGCTGGATAAGTGCGTTTCTATTGTTGGTGTACTTTAATCTGCTGTATATGCTAACGAAATATTTGTGGGTAAAAGAAATCCAAATCATGTTCTTAATTTATTGTCGGTTTCTTGCAGTTTTATGCCAAATTTGATAACACTCATTGAGTTCGCACCCATGACAAAGTTTGGTTTCAGTTTTCTATTCTTCGGGCCAAGTTTTTTTTTATCGTATTTCAACAGTGTCTGGGCAATGTGCGATCCTCGAGGAGATATCCTGAGTCCAATGTCCTTTGCCAAAATTATGGGAGACGTTATGCGAAACTTTGTGATTGGAATTATGGCGATCAGTAAGCAAGGATATCGATCTGAAGGCGTTACCCTTTGGTCCTGCATGACTTTTATCTTAGTCGGAATGGGCTATCTGCATATAGTTACCAAGAAATCATACCATGTTCATACGGCGGATCCGGATTTATATTTAATCAAATTTCGAGTGATGGTCTTTCTGTATACTTTTGTCATGGTTTTATTGGTGATCTATGTCGTGTCACATGCCACTTTTAAACGGAGTTTACCGAAAGATAATACGAAATCGTACACGTTTTTGGATATGGATAGCGGGGATGAGATCCTGGGCAAATACCAGAAACAAAGAGTCTTTTCCAAACGTCAGCTTTGGGTAAAGGCGGTTAATGGATTTCAAAATATGAAGGATTCCCATGTGGTTTATAGGGTTCTAATGGTGGGTTCTTCGATTATTGTAGACTACTTGGATTATCTACTTTCTTTTACAGTTGCCATTCTATTTTATTGTATCTAACTTTTTCCCGGTTATTACCAAAGATCGCTTTCTGGTCGGCTGGAACAAATATGTTTGCTTTTTGTGCCTAATTGTCCTACCATTCTTATGCCTATCTAATGGATTCACAGCTGCCAGTTGGGCAATTTTGCTCAAGACTTGCTGGGCTCTCAGCATTGTAACCTTCATTACCACTCACCCGTTTAGGAGACCCGATAATGTCTGTATTTTTGCCCTCCTTGGCATAATCGTTAGTTCGGTGTCCATGAATATACTTAGTCATGAGATAGAGAATATAGCCTGGCAGTATATTAGCCTCCAGTTCGATGTGATGCCCGATATCACGGCTTTGATGTACTTCGGAATGGGTGAAATCTTCAGTGAGGCCGTCATCGTAAGGTGTCTGCAAGGGAAAAAGATGTTTGACGCCGCCTTTGGAGTCGTAATGAGCATGGTGACATATCCGATCTTTTTAGCATTTCCTCTCCTCTACTACCAGGGATGCTATAATCCCAGGTGCAGTGTAAGTCTAAGAAGTTTTTCATATTTAAGAGGTCTATTGATATTCCCTACTCCAGATAATTGTCACAGCTTCGACGGATACTGGCGTTCAATTCATTTTTCTCATCGTGACCATGAGTCTGCTGCACATTTCCATGAGTGGCTATGAGTTTCGAGTGTCACTGTTTTTGTACGTCTCGACATTGACGGTCATTTATGTGACCATCCAATGGATGATTCACTTTAATTGGATACTTTCCCATCGCCACTCTTTATAATAAAACAACGCATGTTTAGGTTGTTAATATTGATGTAATATAAATAAACCAAATATATAGATTTGATGGGTTTTATTTGAACAAAATGCATTTAGTGTGACTGCCTAAAAGTGTGCTACTATATTCTATCTTCAGCGATTTATCCTGAAATTCAGCCTTAGACTTGCATTATAAATTTGTTCTAGTATTCCATCAAATATATATTTTATCGTACTCTTACAAGTTATTAAAAATTTTCCTATCAGCATAGTAAATATTTCCCAAGCTAAGATTGGCAAATTGTGTTTACTTGCCGCCCTTCCACTAACAGCAAATCAAAGTTTGATATTAAGTCATAAACTTGAAGAACTTTCTCAGCTTTGGGCCAACTTAATCGCCATAAATTATCATGGCCTATTGATTGCTGTCGCCCATTTAAACCTAATGCTGATGACGATGCTGTGACCAGAAACACGCACTTACTCCATTTACAATGTTTAGGCCTTTTGAAAGTCATTTATAACGAAATGAAGATGTTGAATGGGCCTCGAAAAATGCGTCGTATGTCATCTGTAAGAGCTGGAAATTAGTTTCCAAGGGTCCGGGGCCGGACCAAACTTGTAAAATATTTACGAGCTCAAGTGAGCGCTGGGGGAAAACAATCAGAATCGGGGCCCCAAGTCCGATTATGAGTGTGTGCGAGAGTGAGTGGCATGAAAAGTAACTACTTTGTGGCTTATGTGTGGAGTGCCCCGAAATATTGTTTGTCTATGTGTGGGTGTCGACTGGAAACTAAAACAAAAGCATAGTCTGCTTCTGGGCATATCCGAAGGTGTCAGAGTGTGCGTGCGTCCGTGTATGTTGTGATTGTGTAATAAAAAATATCCAGCTGACATTTTGTGTCAAGCACCTTTTTCATTTTGGCACTTCAGTATACTAGTCGCATGACCAAGTCCTCTAACTTGGCCAAAAGCGGCAAGGGAAAACGGTAGTGGGAATAAGCCGAAGAAACCAGGGTGATTTTCAAGTGGGAGTATAAAATCCGGAAAAATAATAAATATTAAAACAATTTTATACGCCTACAAAGAGGTGTTTCAGTTTTACAAAGTGATTGTTACCTAAAGTTTTGCATCATTAAAGTTTTTGATTTATGAAGAATACTTTTGTACTTATTATCTCGTATAATTTGTGTAAGTTCATAAAAATGGTTTCATACTTTCCAAAGAGAAATTGAGACGTTAAACACCAGGTATCTATTAGTCGCAAAACTCTCTTCTGTGTTTTTTGCGATGCTGAGGAAGATTGGGGTGATGCTGGACCCGGTTCGCTAGCTGCTTGAGTGATGACAAATTACATTTGTCAGATTTATGACCAATTATGAGCGTGTTATATATCACCCTGGTAAGAGAAGGGCGAAGGCGAAGCCAGCGGAAGTGGCTCTGGCAGTGGCAGTGGCAATGGCCAAATGGCAGTCAGAGCCACCTTAATGGCAAGCGCAATGAATAAGTCGCCGTCGTTTGTTTGCGGTCTACGGCACAGCCACATTCAACATTGCCACATCGGTGCCAACACACATATAAGTCGGTCTAGGTTTTGGTAATGCCAGCACGTTCTTAATGCTTCGGTACAATATCGCATTTCGCACATTTTCTCGCGCCCATTTCGCGTGCCCCAAATCCTCAACTCATCAAAAATTGTACCATATATACTTTGGTGTTGTTGTTGTTTTGTTTTGAGAAATGATTTCGGATTTCTTTGGAGAAATGGGCGAAAACCTACGTAGAACACAACATATCGCGTGTCTTTATTTTCACACTTTCGGCTTGTATTATTTATGATTTTAATGCGTTGCAAATGGCCAAAAATCGCTTTTATTACACGCGCAGTTAAACTTCAATTACGGTCGCTAATCATAATGCATATGTCTTAGTGCCAAACAGCGAGGGCAGTTATCCTTTTAGTGGTGGTATAAATAAGAAACTTAGTCAGGCTTGTAACTTATTATTTATAGATTTGTTAAGTTCAAACATTTACCGCTCGAGAGAAGAATGGAATTAGGCTGTTCAGTTTTTCAATGTCACTGATTTAGTTAACTAACATTCTGCTGGATCGGAAAAGTCCTGCATACTCTCCTGCTCAAATTTCTTAATCAACTCTCGTTCTAAATCATTCCCACATTTTGCTGTGACAAAACACAGAAGGCGCAGCGGAATATGCAAAAAAAAAAAATGAAAAACTCCCATAAAATAAGCGCCTAAGTGCGCAAATTAAAATCGAAAACCATAAATTATACAGAAATAAAAACAACTGGGGAAAACGCAGTGGGGGTTGGTGTGCCAGCAGCTGTAAACAGAAACAACGGAGGCAAAAGCATTTTATGCTTCACTTTACAATTCAATCAGTTTCAATTTCCACCTGCCGAATACATTTCCGTTTTACAGTTTATTTCGGCCGGCGATTGCCAAATGCGGCCGGCTGTTTGTAATTTTTTAATTTCGACTTGAATTTCAAAATTCAATTAGTTTTTGCCACGCACACCCTCACAAACTGGCACAGCCCTCCACAGATACAGATACAGCAACACATATAGATTTATATATATACAGATTCAGACAGGAAGGAAGAAAGGCATAAAGCAGTCAGCCCACAGATCCCGTGGATTGGAGCAGGGGAACAGGGGTGGTCCACACCGCAGATGTCCGCCTGTGTCTGCTCTGGCATTGTTGGTTTCACTTTTTAGATTTATGCTTTTAGATTTTAATGAAAAGCCACATTTATGTAGATGCCTCCACACTTCCAGAAGCACAAAGATATAGACTAGATGGGAGGAGGCGCAGCCTGGCAAAGATGCAAATTTTGCGGTCCTTCGTGGTTTTTAGGGGTTCTCTGGGGGGGCAGCCCAATTTAAGCTCCATAACTCAGACCGCAGTGTGAAAGAAATTAGTTCTGCCGAGGGAGTTGCTCCTCTTTCCTATCGAGCGTGGGAATCGCAGACTTGATTTGTGACTAGGCTAAAAAATTGAGAAAACTGACTGCAGAAGTCTAGAACAGTATTCAATTTGAATTAGATCTGATTAGATAAAGTAGAGAGAGATTATTTACCTTTAAAGGTCTAACATGATGATAATTTTATGGCTTTTTATTCAAGGTACTATCACCATAAAAGTATCTAACGTTACGATTTTTAAGTTTAAAATCAGCTTTTAATCAAATTTGTGTCAGTGAAGTGCTCTACATCATGTCCATCAACCACATGGCTTGGCTTTTTAATGATTTCACCGACAGACCCTCGAATGCACTCATTAAAAATGAAGCCAATATAGACCATTGATTCGTTTCAATAACAACTGTAATTCATGCGATGAATTCACATTTGAAAAACAATTGACTGGCTGCCAATTAGGGGAAAAATTTGAAAGCGCAAACGGCAAAAGCCGAGTGTGTTTCGTATATAATTTTCTTTTTTTCAGCTTTTGTTTCCTTTTCGCGAGCAAACAAGCCTGCAATATCTACGGTCTGCCAGTCGCCTGTCCATCTATCTACATGCAACTGTTGCTGCTGGCAACTGAACGGCAGCAACAGCAACAACATTGGCATTTGCAACAGCATTGGAAACGCGTAAGCCGCTGGCAGCTAGTAGGCAGAGGCAAATAAACAGTCAAGGATATGTGCCACGCCCACATGCATGCACACTATCACATCAATGCCATCGAATGTGGTGTGCAAAAAATGTAGCATACAACTCAGGGCGGCTCCATCAGCAACATCTGCTGCTGGTGCTGGTGCTGCTGCTGCTGTAGCTTTTGGTCCACTGCTGCATGGCAACTGCACATTACCGTTTCGTAGTTTTTCATGCATTCATTTCAATAGTTAGCCGGGCGGCAGGCAACTCCCTGAAAATATTGCCCCGACAAGGACACTGCTCCGTAGTGAGCCAGGCATTAACGGACTTTCCAACTTGCACAGTGTCCTTAAAAGGATGCTGGTGCAAGCCAACCCCTAGAAAGACTGATTTAGTTCGATTTTTATTCGCTATTTTAAAAGTCGGATGATCTACAGGAACACTTTTATTAAATATTTTACATTATAAGAACCCTATGTTGTATGTTCCTCAGGACCAAATCCTATAACTTCAAATAAATGAATGGAGTTCCTTTTAATTTCAGCCAATAAGCTGATGAAAAGGAAACCGAATTCCTCTTAAAACGAATTAAAATGTTTCGGAAAGTGCTGTTGCCATATAACGGCTGTGGCCAGTGTACGACTGAAGGGGATTGGTCCAACTGATAAATAAGCACACGTCGCATCGGGCTCCCTGGTGTCTCTGGTGTCCCCCTTCTAGGGTTGTTGTCTCCTGTTCCGGGGAGGCGAGGATGTGGCGTAGTGAGGCGTGTGTGCCGTGGCCTGCCTGCCTGCAACTTGACCCCGGGTCAAATGCAACAAGATGCGGTGCTTCGACTGTTGTTGCTGCTGTTGTTGTTTCGGCTGATGCTGTTGCTGCCGGTGTTGCAAATGAAATTTTTCTTCAATTAGTTTATTTTCACACCAATGATTTTGATTTCAGGTCCGATGCCCAGCCAGCCCATTCCGCTGCCCGTCTCTGTTGTTATTGTTGGACTTTTTCCCCAGCATTCTCCTGTTAACGAGTGTGTGCGTATGTGTTGGCAATTAAGGCGCGCGTAATTGTTGCCAGTTGCTGGATGATGCCCATGCCGAACCGCCGATGCCGGTGCTGATGCAGATGCAGATGCCCATGTTCATGGCCATGTTGGTGCCGCTGCAACAATATCATTCCGGCCAAGTGAAGTCCGGCCATTTCTTGCTGAACATTGAGCATTTTGTTGCGAAGCGCCAATTTTCGATTGCCTTCCACTTGATGGACCGCCGGGGAAACAAGCAAATGGAAAACTAAAATGGGCGAAAAATAAAGAGCAAAAAAATGTATAACGAGGCAGCTGGAAATGATTGAAGTGAGAGCCAATTTGCGGATTGTACATGCATAAACATGAAATCAGAGTGGAAGGCAGGTAGCACCCATCACATTACCTTTAGTTGCTGGCCCATTACGTATACGCCACGTAAGGCGGCAAGGAATGAATTGGATTTGTCAGCGTGTGCGCAACTAAGAGATACTCGTATCAGCGGACCTGGCTGCCATATTCCTGAAATGAGCATGCGATACACGTGCTGGCGCAATTTGTCACATGAGCCTCTAAAATATGCCCAAGGGTGTTTGGAAAGAGGAACCTAAGAGCTTCTAGCCTCACACACACACACACACACATTGTTCCGCTGGGTAATTGTGTTTTAAAAACCAATTTCTCAAAAAACTCTACTGGCTTTTGTTAAGGGAAAAAGTAATCATAATATGCAAGGAGTATCAATATTCAGTGAAAAACTATATGTTGAGTAAAAGTTTTGTGCAGAGAACGGAGGAGAATATGGGAAAGTTTCTATCACATTTTTAGTTATTTGATATTTGACTTAATAATTTATAGAAGGATGTGCAACCCTGCAAGGGAAGTATGTTTAATAACAAGGATATCAAGAGAAAAAGATTATATAAACATAAAATGAGTTTGCTTTTCTAATCTTTGCTAACAGATCGCTCGAGAACTTCTCTGATTTCTAGTGAATTTGAAGAGTTTTCCCGTTTCAGAACCGTTCCCGAAAGCAATACAAATTCGGATGGCAGGCAGCTTAGCGTTGCGAAAAATATGAAGTCTAGCTAAGATTAGATGATTTTTCAAGATAAACGCAGAGAGTTGGTAGGCACTTTTCGTATCCCAGGGAAATGCCTCCTCCGTACATTTCCCTAAGCATGGATATGTGTATTTAAATGAAGCAATCAATAAAATGCTGAACTGAAAGAAAACCTCCTTTTGGAACTGCGAAAGTTTTCAATTTCGTTTGCTGCATTGCATTTGACTTTTGAATTTAAGTCTGCGAGTGGGTCTGCGTATTTACATTTCTTTTGCCGAACAGCTGGTTTTTTGGTTTTACAAAAAAGAGAAACAGAGAAACACACACATGGCGTAGACACCGACATAATTTAATTTCACATGCCTTGGCAGCGGTAAACTTTTGTGCCTTTGCCCTCGCGTCTCATTTGCAAATTTAAGTTATGTAGATTATAATTAGAAAAGTTTTTGGCCCCAAACAAAAACTTTGTTTACAGGCAACACCAGACCAGACCCACCATTCGCCATTTGCCCCGCCAGTTTTCCCCCAACTCCTCCTCATGCCCTGCTCATAAAGTCATAAAATTATAGGTAAACGCTTACGTGCATTTGGCGAAAAAGCTTTTCCATTGCCGTGAAAAGCGAGTGCCCGGGACCGCTGGGCAATTTGAATGGGCGGGCTAATTAATTACCACAGAATTTAGAAAAGGTCTGCCTACATTTAGCCATTTTGAAAACACAAAACTCGCATTGAGCACAGTACGAATAATATAAATGGCGAGCAATATGAAACTAATCAGATTTAATTGGCCCACAAAGCGAGTTATGCCAATGGAAGGCCTTTTTGGGGGCCAACAAGTCTTGAAAAGTCCTCTTTTTGACTTAAATGATGTCCTCTTTTTGAAGCATTCAACTGTTTTGTTGAGGAGAATCAAATATTTATGGTAACCAAGAAGTTTATGACTCGGAAAAGCTACCAAGTAAATATAATAAAAGTCGTGATTTTGAATTATTAAATTAATGCCAATTAAAATGGGTGGGTAAATACAATAATAATACAAATTATTGCTATTTAAAGGATTTATGTTGAGAGGAACTGAAAGTAGTAAGCTTTGCTTGGCAGAACATCAACATTGTAGTGGAAATATTTATGGAATTACTCTCTCTTATATCCAAAAATCCTTACATGAAAGTAGAAATAAACAATGTATTTGATTTAAAAAAGGTAATCCCTGCCCTCGTTTAATCTCATACCAACTGCTAGTGTGTTCCTTTTTGCTGTGCTAAAAAATAATGCAAAAGCCGCAAAACAGGCAAACAAAACATACGAAATATTCATTACGTATACGACGTGTGGCGCGGACCTTTGTTATTGGCATTGTCTGATTTACAGCTGGTTTTTTTTTATTCGCATCATGTGTTTTTGCCGTGTCTTTACACCTCGCGTGTTTGCGAATTTTTTACGACTCACGTGCACCCATAAAGCGGCTGCGTGTGTCTGTGCTGGCGTCTGTGTGAGCCGTGTTAATTATGCTTTTAAGCAAATTAGCCAGTGCATCGGTGGACGCGAATAATGCGAAATCGATTTTGGCGAGCAGGCCAATAAATTACCCACAAAACAAGCGCAGGCGTCAAAACAGAAATCAGCATCCAAAAAACAGGTGCCAACATGTGTGTAAATTTACGCCATATAAAATGTACTTTTTTTCTCGTTTCTCGTTTAACCACAAAGGAATGCTTAAAGCTGAGGTGATTCTTTAATTTATTTCACAAATTTTTATTTATGGCTTGTACTACATACGAGCCTTTCTCTTTCTGGCAGCCTGACAATTTGATAATTACAAAGGAAATCCTATTAGCAACTGCTTATTTATGCTAATTTCGTTATTTTGGTTTAATTTTTAAAACATGAGTGCCCTGTTATCTGTGGCCTTGGCAGGGGAGAAGAAAAATTACTAAGAGGGGGGGTCTTTAATTTCATTTAGCGTCTCTGACAGCATTTCAAAGGTAGGAGGCGGGAGTAGGCCCAGCACGCACCATTCAAATTAAGCAGCGCGTACATTATAATCTTCTATTGGATGGAGATTGGAGGTTGCTGGAAGATGGAGGACCGAAGACAGAGGACAGAGGACAAGGGACACAGGACGGACAGGTGTATCCTGCTCACCTGTTCATACGAGGCAGCCGTGCCGCCTTCAATTATGTCACATGCGCACTGCGTCTTCATCTGGCGAGGCGAGGAGCATTACAATCACGATACACACGCCCAAGATTGCCATCTATTAGGGGCAAATGTCCTCTGCCACTTATCCCCACCCCTCCTTAGCCAAGTCCTTGGCCAATTTCTGTTGAATTTTTACCTTTCTCACTTTATGCGATAATTTGGTGACATGAATAGATGTGAAAATTTGGTACTTGAACATTTTTCGTGGCCTCTTAATTGGCAAACCTTATTAATATTTAATTATGTCGAATATTCCGCGAATATATTTATAATTTTTCTTTTTATGCTGCACTCAAGGCAGTCGCCGACGCGAGGCTAATTAAAAATTTAACGCGATATTTTGATAGAAAGCGGTGCTGAAGAGATGTAAAAGAATTCTCGGGAAGTGGGTTGATGGTATTGCAGGTAATGTGATACTTAATGACTTCTGGGGAAGGATGGCTAACAATAAATATATTTTAAAAAGTTGTTCACTGGAATTGACTAAATACCCTTCCCTTGCAATCTAGTTAAGAAAGCCATGAAAAGTGGCATTTAATCAACAGCTTGCATTCTGGAGTTTAATTAAATCCACTCCCTGTTCGGTAGCTAATTTCATATGCCCTTCAGCCAATTACCAATTTTATTGCCAGACATAAAAGCCGACTTTTGTAGCTTGAGATTTGTGTCCTGTCCTAGCCAAGATCAACAAAATTCGCCTCATTGTTTCAATTTATTATTAACTTTTATACCTTGAACGGAACTTTATTTACCAATAAATGTGCTCGCTCCCTGTCCAAGCTACTGGGCAAATTTTATAGCTTTTTAAGCCAATTTCCGTTAACGCCCCAATTGTTGGCACATTTATGCCTTGTTGTCAAAGTTGAAGGTCATTAAAATGCCAGTCTCCGTCCCGGCATAGTTCCTTAT